ATTTTGCTTGCTTCGCTGTCAGTCGAACAAACGAAGACTAAAGCGTGAATGACGCTCTGCATACGATTTTAACGCCCTATAAGTTCGGACACTTTTTAGCGCGGACCCGACGTCCATATAATTGTAAATCAATGGGTACGTGGGTAAATTTGATTATTTTATATAACATCAAGTGATGGGACGAAAAAGTCGTGCGCCTGATGGAAGCTACACGCCTGTCCGTAACAGAGGTTTAAATCGCAAAGTACTTATAGGGTGTGGCATCCGTACCGAGGATGTGGTCAAAATAAAACAACGAATTGTCACCACCAAATAATTATGAAGAATTTATTTCAAAAATTTATAAACGGTGGTTTCGAAGGCCTAACTTGTAGTCAGATTTTGCTACCGTAATTCGATACTCCCCTGGATACGGCAGCGGCTGCGAGGTCTTTACAATGCAGCGCCCCGGCGGGTTCTGGAACGTTTCGGGGAACGCCGGATCAGCGGGTTGCGGTTTCCATTCAAGCCCTAGGCAAGTACAAAGGCTGGACCGGTGCAGTGGAATCGTAAACGGCTTCAGTGGCTATTCTAGTCGTGGTGTAACACCCTGTGAATAAATGTCCACAGTAAGAATATGATTGAGAACCTCCCCTGATTGTGAACCACTTTATTATGTGCGCCTAATATTACAGGGAGAAACTGAAAGCGGTTGGTGTGGGTGTTCACGAATGGAGTTACAGAGTTAAGACAGAATGACTTACACTTTTTTTTACAAGTAACAAGTTACAACGAAATATTACCACTATAACAATAATTAGGTAATAAAAGATTGCATTGAAAAATTGTTAAAGCGTAGGTATATAAATGACAGACAAGACAGAGACAAGAGGCTGCGGACAAGAACTAATACATTACCTAACATATACGTTTGTTCAACACTTACCCTATCGGGGCGCGAGGTTACACTTTTTAAACTGTTTCTAAATGTCTCCCGATTACGTAGGAAGCCAACGAAAAGATTGGACACGATTGTTTTATCCTATGCCAGCGCGTGATAAGACACGTAGCGGAAAGATTGCCACACACACCTGCCACTACTACTACAGAAATAGGTAAGGTGGCAGTGCTACCCTGGACGTACAACACACAACAAGGAGGTCTACTGCTACAAAATCATGTACAAGTAATACTTACCTGGTTAATAATTATTATAAGGTTTGCCAACGTATGTATGTTAATGTGTACTGCTAGATATGTATGTAATAGGTAATCTTAGATGAGAAGTAACAAAATTGTTACATTTTGTTTTATATCAATTTACTACATATCTCGTCCAGTGTCAATTTCCAATTCTGAGCTTGACTTAAACTGCTCGATCTCGAATGTTTGCAATCTCTGCCATCAAATAAAAAATAGGGATGTCACAATTGTACAAATAATAATTTACTAGTAATGTATATGTTGGTTTCTATTGAACAAAATTCATTAATATTATCAATAGTCTAATCGAATCTTGACCATCGCAGAAAAGTAGCCTGCTGGTCGGTTCTCTATTGGACACATTTCTGGAAATGTGTGCATGAACCTTTCAATTTAGTTCCACCCTCACCGTTCCTCCTTCGGTCAACTAGAAGGTCCGGAGCACTCCATTCTTATGTCGTTGATATACCAATGTAGGGACCCTATAAGTATGCGAGTAATGTATGTGCCAGCAGTTTTGAGTATAAGCGAGATGTTATTTTTCAGTTGTTATTTTTTCAGTTACTGCGAGCCGCCGGTCCGGTGTGACTGTCTATCGTTCTGGGACTAAGTAATGAATATATATAGCAGTGAAATTAGAGGCTTTTCAGTAAATCTAATGCAGACTCAAATTTTGTTATGGTAATAAAGTACGGAACACATTCCCACCAATAGCATAGTTACCCTACAGTAGTGACCCGACATTCCAACGTATTATTTTTTTATAACAAAAAGTGTACCGAGTTTTTTTTTGATGCTGCATTGGGAGTTACTGAAAGCCACTAATTTCACTGATATATATATATTTATTACTTTTAGTCCCGAAACGAGAGAGAGAGATAGTTGGAGATTACTTCACCGACAAGAGCCTAGCTCTTAAATGAGAAGAAGAAGAAGTCCCAAAACGATAGACAGTCACACCGGACCGGGCGACTCGCAGTAACTGCCGCACAGTGACATTCATGCATCTCGCTCATACTCAAAATTACTGACACATATATCACTCGCACACTTACAGGATCCCTACACCTCCAAGTACTTTGCTTCCTCCTTTCTGATGCATACGGCAAAGGAATTAAATACTCTATATTTCCCGAAAAGTACAATTTGGAGCTACTCAAGGCTAGAGTAACTAGGCTTTTATAGGCAAACGCGTCCCATCGTCGGTCACATCGTCGCTTAATATCAGGTGAGATTGTGGCCGAGCGTGTGGCTATTATTTGGTTTAAAAATTTTTTTGGAAATATCGACCCCTCCGACGTATAGTATCGTATGTCGAAATTGCCAAGTTTACAGAGGAGCCTTTTAAATATTCTGAATTCACTGAAATAAGCACAACACGTGACTTTAGCATTTCTCAGTTTTATTCCACAAAACTTGCTACTCACATAGAGTATTATAAAATCCTAGATATCGGTTAGATGATGTATTAGATGATCACTCTATTTGAGTAACGAGCTTTGCCGAATAAAACGGAGAATTTTAAAACGCTTCCCTGTAAACTTGGCAATTTCGACATACGATAATTTACGTAGGAGATGTCGATATATTGAAATAGTGGTAAAACAGTGCGATGTAACAACCCTAAAAATCATATACTTTTATTTGTTTACACAGTTAACATAAAGGTTATTAAGCTATGTACAATTTTGTTACAAAAATTCGCTTCCATTAGCCTTGTAAATTAAACCTAAGATTAAAACAAAACAATCTGTATTATTGTCCACAGGTAGGTATTCGATTTTTTATCGTGCAATATTATTTAATAATAACACGATAATACTTGAATATTTAAATAACAAAAACTGCTACGACAGATGAACTCTTATTTCCTGATAATAATATTAAAAAATCTTATCAACTTCAATCATAATCATCATTGTTGTTAGATACGGCAATTTTAATACTAGAATTCTGTGATTTTATTATGTTAAAATAATTATCATTTATTACTGAAACTCTTATTTACTTATCGTTAAAATTGTTAGGAATACACGTAAATAACTAAGTCACACAACTGAATTCACCCCTGTCTACATTTTAACCAGTACCTCTACCATGAGATCACAGAGACAATTATTGTCGCTAGCGATTTGGAAAATGTAAAATGTTTGACAATTTTGTATGGTAAATTTAACAACGCCTCTAGCGGTGACGAGAAAAGTGACATTTTGTATGCAATTATTAGACGCTGTCGTTAGGGACAACCATCGAGTATGTAACCAGACATAGAGACGAAGTAACGGTCATCCATCCCTGGCAACTCATCAGTTAAATGGGACTGATATCAGTTTTAAATATCAACTCCCGTTTGCGCTGAAATCACAAATTAGAAAACTCAAATAGTACATCGCGAATAACTGGCCTGTGTGTACGTCTCTGTATATTCCAAAAATATTCTGTTTTTATTGTAATAAAGATAATATCTCTAACAATGGGGGGCTGTTCCATTCGGTGGTGTAGGAAAAACAGCAAAATGCCATTTTTCAATTTTCATCCATTGTAGTTAAAGTTCAAGTTAAACTGGTCAATTTGAAGTGAAACAATTGACGACACCCGTCAATTGTTTCGAACTCGGGCTGGCCAATCGGAGCGCAGTTGTTAACGTAATGATTTGGCAGAATAGTTTTCTAACAAATTAAATGACATTTCGTCTCTATATCTGGTTATAAACTCGATGGGGACAACTGTTACTGTGAACTCATGATAGTTACTGGTAATTACGTTTTACATTATTTTACTACAGGCCTATTGTTTCACTGAGTCGGTTCCTGAGGTAGCTACGCAGTAGGGATGGACGATTTTTAGCTTTGAATCGATTTTTTGGATCGTAATGGATCATATCGACTCATCCGTAGAACAAAGATCTATGTGCAAGACTACTTGTTCTCGGGACATAGTACACTTCGTTCCTTCCTTTTTCTCTGTGGATGTCAGATCGACTGTTGTTCGATTTTATATTTCCGAAACGAAATAAGGTATATAAATTCTCAAAACACCTTGACATAGGCCTTAGTTTGAATAACGAAATTATTCTCGTGACGTACTTATTCTCTTTTCGCTATATAATAACATCGGACTCTGTTCTTCGGATGAGTCGATATGCCTCTGAATCGATCTACAGATCGGACCATATGCGTTTGAATCGATATAATAAAAGTCATATCAAAATTAATTTCGATAAAAAAAAAGTCTGCCTTTTTAGCTTCTGTCGGTTACGACTTTCATTTAGAACATAGTTTACCAAAGTAGTCACTACCGCCCGTCAGGTTGGATTCCCGGGCGGGAGAAATATGTGTATGGCCTACATTTAGCTCTCTTGTGAGTTTGGGTGTAATTTGTGGTTGTCTATTCGTGTGCCCATGGCATTCGCAACACAAGGTTTCCCAAGTGCGGGGCTATGTTGAGTGTGTGCCTTATTATTATTATTACTTAAAAATCGCATTGAAATTAATCGATACAAAAAATCGCTAGATCGTATGTCTTGAATCGATCTTCATAAAAATCGAATCTTAATGTGGACCTCTACTACGGGTTGCGGGAGGAGTGACACTTTACGTAACTGTTATGAAGAGCCTACCAAATTAGTAAATTGTTCTTATGTGAAACGACAATAAAAAGAACTATTTCATTGATAATTTAAATGAATAGACAAGCCATTTTGCACTTTTTTCAAATCAAATTCTTATTGAATATTATCAGAAAAATCTTGTTGAAGTGTAATAGTGCTCTCTTCAACATTGGTTTACTGTAAACAATCTTAACCTCAACTCCAAGAAAACAAAATGTGTTATGTTTACGCTACTTAAAGTAGAAAATGTAGCAACTGACATTAAACTTAGTAATGTACAATTGGATTTTGGGGACACCACTGTCTTTTTGGGACTAAAGTTAGATTCAAAACTTCAGTGGAACTCTTATATGTCGACATTAGTTGGAAGGCTTAGTTCTGCTGCTTATGCTATACGAAAATTCAGGCAGCTTACTGACGTCGAGACGGCCTGAACCGTTTACTTCAGTTATTTTCACAGTATGTCATACGGTATTTTAATGTGGGGCGCCCATTGACTTACAAATAAATGGACGACGGGTCTAATACAAATACCACGAAAAAAATGTCCCAAGTCAACCTATTTAAACGTAGTGACATGTAAAGGAATATGAAAAAGCTAAAACGTTGAATTTAAATTGTAATGTCATCGCAATACTGTCTAATTTTGCTTGCTTCGCTGTCAGTCCAACAAACGAAAACTAAAGCGTGAATGACGCTCTGTATACGATTTTAACGCCATATAAGTTCGGACACTTTTTAGCGCGGACCCGACGTCCATATAATTATAAGTCAATGGGAGCGCCGCTTCAAATATTGGAAACAATTTTTATTTTGCAGAAGCGTGCGGTTAGAGCGATACATAATTAAGCTCACGTACCTCACTTAGGGAGATTTTTAAGGGGCACATTGATCACTGCATCACAGTTTATTTTCAATTGTATACTTTTTGTGCGTTTGAATAATGAATTGTATAATAAACGGAGTTACGTATATAATTTTAATACTAGACATAAATGGAAGCTCGTTTAACCGAACTTAAGACTTCAGAGGGTTCTCGGTTCTTTTGTGGGGCAAGGAATTCAGTATTATAATAAGGTATTATATAATAATTCAGTATTATATAAGAGAATATTATAATAAGAGAAGTCCAAAACAGCTCTAGGAAAGCTGTTTTGTTATAAGTTCAAACATCATGTAAAGGCAACTCTACTAAAGAGACGATATTACGCGCAGCTACCTCAGAAGCCGACTAAGTTAGGCGGTAGATCTGTAATCATGTATTACCCTCAGCAGGAAAGCTCGCTGCCATCAATTAACTTCTTCCGCCTTTTCCGAGTGATGAGATTAGTCAAGCTACTCTCCAAAGGTGAAGGCATCAGGACACTGCTTTGGACTTTCATCAAGTCCTTCCAGGCGCTGCCCTATGTCGCCATGCTGATTCTTATGCTGTTCTTCATTTATGCCATTGTTGGGATGCAGGTATGGTCTATATAGATCTATTCTAGGTATATATCTTTCTAAGATCCATCAAACTAGGGGACAAGCACTTAACGACCAATGTACATTAAAATGTAGTAAATATTTTTTTTCTTTCAAAGCGGACGCTTATAAATTTATTACTGTTTTAAAAATATAACATTTCTTTGTTTATGGATAGTTACAAAATGTTTAATGATTTAAAAATTTACAAAAAGAACTAGAAATCTGTAGTGATCAAAAATAAAAATAAAAAACTTTTCTTTCGTAGTCTGGTGGGCTGGATTTTATTTTTCGCTTTCTGATTTTTTAAATTTCTTGTTATGTGTGTGCCTTTTGTATAAGCGGGACATTTCTAAGTATTTTGGGGACAGCGGTACACGAAACTTAAAAGCGGGACTGTCCCGCTCAAAGCGTAACGTATGGTCACGTTATACCATACCATGCGTTGAAATGGCGCGCGGCAATGGAACGTTAGCGCATCGGACAAGGGCCTAGGAGACGAAGCGGGGAGGGGTGCTGCAATGCCCGCGTTTTGTATGGAAAACGCATATTTCTATATACCCTATGGTCGTAGAATATAATATAATGCTAAATTAGCGTGGGATATTTTCATTATAATGTACACTGGACGTTTACTACAACGTAGAAATAATATGGTCTGCAAGTATGTACATTTTCATGTATAGTCTAACAAAATTTTTAGGTCATTTACAAGTAAAAAATAAATAATATGAAGAAATAAAAAAATACAATAATTGAGTATTTTGGACTGACATTAATCTTTATTTACAGACTTTTGGTAAAATAGCAATTGACGATAGCACGGCTATCAGCAGAAACAACCATTTCCAAACATTTCCGCAAGCCATTTTGGTGTTGTTCCGGTCTGCTACTGGTAAGGAATAACTTTTCTTTCGCCATTTACTTAAACATCATTACCGAAGGATTAAGACAACGTGGATGGAAACCTGAGAAAGACCTACCTAGGCGTATATACCTCAACTAAATTGAAGATGTTCTGCAGCCTTTGGCTGGCAGGCTATACCAACTCAGCTTTAATAATTGGTATAGCGTCTGGCACGGTATGCTAGAAGACGTCGGTTCGAATCCGGCCGGATCAAAGGATTTTTTTGAGTATTCGACGTTTGTATTAATAATTATAACAAACTAGTGGAGTAATTTCACAAAAATAATAATTGAATATCAATTCAACAAAATTTAAAAACAGAAAGTTACTATGTAATGACTACTGTTGGAGATTCAGCCAAACTGAACTTCTCTTCTTTAATCTTCCTTCGATATCAATGAAACTTCCTTAATTTGAAGTGGACTGTATATTCATATAATGTCGATCTGACTTACAAGAAACAACTAATTGTAACAAGTGAGAGTGATTGAAAGTGATTTACGAAAGTGATTGATTCGAATGACAATTATCGCCTATATTTATACCAGTACGGTGTCTCCCACATCGTACCGGTCCTATCAATGGGTCGCTACGCCACTCGGCCAATCAGAGCTCTTGAATTAATCATTCTCCTCTGGACTCTAGCTCTGACCGGCCAGGCGCGTACGGCCGTCCGTAACAACTACAAAGAAGAACGTCTAAAAGAAAATTAATTAATTTAATAAAAACGACGTTTAAAACCTTACAAGATTAAAAATAGGACAAATAAAATGAAGAAGCATTACATTACATAATTCTAAATACTAAGTTAATTTACCGTCGCGCGTGTAGGACCGCTGGTGTAGCGTCAGCAGATTACCAGGCTTCACGCCTTGGTAATTTGAACGTCACAATTTTATATAATAACAAATAATCCGGTTTTCCGCAGGAGAAGCGTGGCAAGATATTATGATGGCCGTGTCGCCAAGCAAAGACGTGAAGTGTGATAGATTCTACCTCCCCGAGTCTCCTGAGGAGGCCAACGCAGAGACCTGCGGCAGTGTCCTGGCGTTTCCTTATTTCATATCTTTTTATGTACTTTGTTCGTTTTTGGTAAGTTCATCGACTTAAGACTAATATAACTCTTTTTATAATACTAAATGACGGGACGAACAAGAACAAGTCGTGGCAAAACAAGCCTGTAATAAACGATGCGCCTGTTCATAACAGTTTCGGAGCATTAAATAGCAAAGAATAAAATAAAAATAATTTATTTTCGGACCACATAGTCCATACAAGTTAGTAAGTTAGTAAGTTAGTAACAACCATAGATATGGTAACAACACACCTTATAACTATGCTAGTATTAGGAATAGTATGGTATAGTCACTTTACAGACTGGCAAATACATATAAGCGTAGGCTGGTTATTTTTATAACCGACTTCAAAAAAGTGGTCCCATTTCATTTTGAAGGAAATCATCCACCTCGACGGGTGACTGTTCACGCATGAAGATTCATTTTCATATATATCGCCTAACATTAATTTAGGAGCAATTACTTTAATGGTTGATTTTGCTATTTCTTCAATTCAAGGCGTTTTTCTCTCAATATAGTTTGAGTAGTGAGAACCGATTTTTATTATCTCCAGTGTCAAGTCCTGTATAGTGAACTAACTTAACAAATAGACGTAATTCCACGTACTTTTGAGGTCGGTTTTTTCAGTACTCAGTACTGAGATTATATTCTTTTATATTTAGAACTGAATAGAAGGTTGTTGTCAAAAGAACAGAAATTTTCTGGGATAAACGATGTAGATGAACTTATCTCACTGTATTAACCAACCTAACATGAGACTGTTATTAAAAGATAAAGGTAAAATTCTGCATAAAAACTTAACCTACTTAAATACATTAACCTTATTAAATAACCTTTTGTTTACATATATATGCGCTAGACTATTGCAAACAGTGAAATGATTGTACGTTTATTTAATTTTAATCATGGATCACTAACTCAAGGTGACTGCCAATCACCAGATACGCCAGATGTCGAATACCAAATAGCTATTCTTGTAACCCAGCGCCTCCACTCGTGGGAGCATATTGAGAGGTATTATTTAATATTTAAACGAGGAATATAATAATTATTAAAGATTTACTGCGAGCGTTCAGTTTGAAGATTTGTCCAGAACTCCCCCGATGGTCATTTGACAACAACCTTCTATTTTTTATACAGTTCTAAATATAAAAGAATATAATCTAACCAGCCTACGCTACAGTGCCTACATCAAACAGGATGAACTCAGCCCCCTTGGCGGCTCACTGACTCACACGTAAAACATGGAACTCAGTGAATCTCCGGAACATTGCTACATCCATCCTGCCGTTATCACCTTCGGGATCTCATTGCTGCTACCTCTCACTCTTCATACTATTGATTGAGATGGCATTTACAACATCTGCGAAAATTCCACATGCGATGCAGAAACCGGGGAGCCTCAACAAGGCCCTGAAGGTGATATTGCACTCACAAGACACTGAACGATCCCAGTGTAACGTTGGACTATAGAGAACACGTCTAGAAACTCTGACAGTATGCTCTGCAGCTTGATTTTGATTTCCTCTCCCGATCGGAAACTGCGTCTCTTCCGAGTCGAGGCGCATAATTTTTGACATTTCAAATCAAAACAATAGTTGATTTAACTCACAAATTAGAAGGATATAGTAGGAATCAGATACACCTTCTCGCGAAAAGCGTTAGCTTCACTCCAGTCTTACATTACGTGAATCTATGGGCCAACATATTGCCTTGAACCAACAGTGCCCTGCGCTCGCTCTCTATATCTTCCTCATCCTTGAGGTCCTCTGTCAGAATATGATCCAAGTCCTCCTCCATCCTCAACTGTGTAACACGCTTCAAAATCCATGCACATCTCAATTTCACCAACACCCTTCAAAACCGGAATGCTGTAATGTTCACATTATTGCTTGACGGCAGAAATAGGCAAGATGCCAGTACCCTGGTCGAACTCGTTCACAAGGAGCTCTGCTGTTACTTCTTTATTTGCCATTTAGGCCGGAGTAGAATCTACGGATGGGGATGATATTGTCGAGGCTTTCGAACTGTACTCATTTGAATAAAAACTTATACCTCTGTTTCATTTCCAGATCATCAATTTATTCGTCGCTGTCATCATGGATAATTTCGACTATTTAACTAGAGACTGGTCAATTTTGGGACCACATCACTTAGATGAATTTATAAGGTAAATATTATATTATAGAAATTTTAAGTACAACGTTCAATTAACTAACTTAAATGCACAGGTAGAAATATTATGTGAAATCTTTTCGAGGATACTTTTTTCATGAAAAACGTTTCACACAAGAATTTCGTAAAAAGATATTCCACCGAATCTCTTTTACTTTTTTTAACGGATTAATTTTGGAATGATTTAATCCGTAAATGATGAAGAACGTTTTTTTATTTTTCAGATTATGGAGTGAATACGATCCTGACGCAAAAGGAAGAATAAAACATTTAGATGTAGTTACGTTGTTAAGAAAAATTAGTCCACCATTGGGTAAGTGTTATTTGCTTTTAATTGGTTATTCCAATCCATTATACAACCCACTTCTGGGCATGGGTCTCCCTTGAGAAGGAGGTTTAAGGGTTACCAATCAATAGTTCGAAATGACATTTCCCAGAAATAACGTTTGGTCGAATTTTCATAACCTAACCGAACCTGATCGTGTCTTTGCGATAAACATTCAACATAATAATCTGAAAGAACAACTGTTTCGGTTAGTTCGGTTTTCGGTGTAATGAAAATTCGAACAAACGTTATTTCGGACAAAAAAATTTTCGAGTTTGTGATAGGTTACCAGGTTTAAACTATAATCCGCCACGCCTAGATGTCACACGTTTTTAAAGCTAATGAACGTTTCATACACAAGTTTTATCACAATATTTTCCTTCACTGTTAACGAGATATTGTTTTTATTTATTTAAATTTTAATGCACACAAAGTAGTACAAATGCCGGACGTAATGCCATGCAAAGTAGTACAAATGCCATGCCAATGCAGTCAGTCGGAGAGCTGAGTTCACAAATAAAAAGTATGGTGATCAAAATTTATAAGTACCTAACTATGATGCATTGTTTTCACACAATATAAAATATACTTATATAAGAATAATACATTACTATATCCATATATAGTCATATATTATTGTTTGTTACTTATTACTAATCCATAGATTCCATGTAGCATTTCTGCCTAACCCTCTCGGGCATTGGTAATTACCGTAAATGTGACGAGGACATTTTGATATGGACATGGTGAATGGTTCCGATTTGTTCCGGCATAATAATCATTCGACTCGAGACGAATGATTGTGCTTGGATTCGACTTTGGCGAATGATTTGCCCATTCAAATGATTAGTATTAGTAACCTTCAAAGTTACGCATCGCGAGGCGTTCGTATAACTCGATTTTCACCGACTTGCCTAAAATTTTCCACGTATTTATCAAATACTACATTTTGTGCTAAATTTTATGTGTAGAATAAGTTAACCAGTGAAATGAGGTATACTAGTACCTTGTGTGCTAATAAATTGTGTTTAAATGTCGCCAAGGCGCCACTTTTTCTTAAGGGAAGCGTTTTTATCTTGCTCCGGCTTCACTAACGACAATTTCACGCCTCGCCCTTGATATGCATAGATATACCTAACTTAGACATTAAAGTCATAGCTACATGCCACGACAGATAGAATCAAAACGTAGACATCTTAGTTGAGAAGCAATTAGTGGTGGTGTTTCTTACGGGTTAGGATATTCTTTATTTGTCCGGGTGATGAGGTATTTGTTCAGAGGGGATGGGATGACATTTTGTGTGGAAAGGTAAATTCATTATTATTGGACGAGGCATTGGATGTTAACGTGGCGCGTCTAAGGGCCGCATCTAAGCCTGAATCAGGAGCGTGGCTGCAGGCATTTCCTTCTCCCCATTTAGGCACTCTGCTAGATAATGACTCGTTGAGAATTGCCGTTACTTTGCGGTTGGGATGTAAGGCTTGTGAACCGCATCACTGCATTTGTGGGGTCATGGTTGAGGAAAACGGCCACCACGGCCTTAGTTGTCAGAAGTGCGCGGGGAGGTTTTGAAGACATCCTGCAATAACTGATTTAGTTCGCCGGACTTTAGTATTGGCTAACGTGCCCTGTGTCTTGGAGCCTCCGGTGCTGTGCCGTACAGATGGCAAGAGGCCTGACGGCCTTACACTGGTTCCGTGGCAGAAGGACCGGTGCCTTTTGTGGGACGCTACGCGTGTTAATACGTTTGCACCGTCCCACCTGAGTCACACCACCAGATCTGCCGCGTCTGCTGCAGAGTTGCAGAAGCAAAATTGAAACATGCCAAGTACAGTGTCTTGGAGCTGAAGTACGATTTTGTGCCAATTGCAGTGGAGACTGCGAGGACTTGGGGTGCGGAGGCCAAAGAACTCATCAGGGAGTTGGGTCGTCGGCTTAGAGAAAGAGGCTATGGATCCACGCTCTGGATCGTACTTGGTGCAACAAATATCGTTGGCTATTCAGCGCGGGACGTTTGCGCCAGCTAAGATTCAGAGCGGTCCTGTTTCATTCTTATAGTTAAATAATTTCTATTTAATACAAGAATGACACAAAAGACTAAGTCTAGCTAATTGAATTATTAATTTCTTTGTGACGAAGCCTGTTGCTCATTTATATTTATGCCTTCCCGACGAAGCCTACGCTGCGGATTGACATAATTATGTAATTAATTTAGTTTTTAAATGAACTTAATTTTAACATTTAAGTGAATGAAATAAAATGACATCCATTTAGATTATAGAAGTTGTAATTACAATTAATTATCTACAATGTAATTTTCTTAGGCTTCGGTAAGTTATGTCCGCATCGAGTGGCATGCAAGAGACTTGTGTCAATGAACATGCCACTTAATTCTGATGGAACTGTGCTGTTCAATGCGACGCTCTTCGCCGTTGTCCGGACGTCCCTCAAGATCAAAACTGAAGGTAAGGCATAACGTCCCTAAAACTAACTTGAATTTATCAATAGAGTGAGACTTAGTGTATATATATGTATATACATACATCTTACCGACTTTTGAAGAGTCAATATGTACATGGATAAAATCACATTAGTACAAAATGTATATACATTAAATTTACAATCCTTTAAGAGATTATTAAATGCCAATTAATTTTCCCTTTCGACAGGTAATATCGATGACTGTAACACAGAGCTAAGGGCAGTCATCAAAAAGATCTGGAAGCGAACATCTCCCAAACTACTTGACCAGGTGGTACCACCTCCTGGAGATCCTAATGAGATCACCGTTGGCAAGTTCTACGCCACTTTCCTGATACAGGATTATTTTAGGAGGTGTGTATTGATTTCTTAGTTATTGATTACGAACAATTTATACAGGGTTATTGTTTTTTTTTCTTCATATAATTATACGGCATTCCTAATGTTAAAACAAACAACTTAATAAATATGCGCATATACATTTAGACCATTTAACCTGGAAATAAGTAATTTTCAGGTTAGGTTTTTAGTTTTCTGTACCTAATTTTGATGCTACTTTTATTAATGGAGTATTCCAATAAAATATCGTGTAATATTAAATAATACTTCATGATAATATTCTATAATATTTATATTATAGAAATTGCCACTGAAATTAGGAAGAGAAGTTGAAAATTGCGCAATAAGTTGTTCATCGATTTGTAAAATAAGAAAAGAACATAGTTGTTTATTTTAATGAAAGAAATACCGTGTTCCGAAGTTTCGACTTTAAAAATAACCCTGTATAAATCTACTTAGTACTAATTATGTCAGATTATTTCTGGCACATCATACTAAATACTCGTATTTGAAGAAGCTATCTTTGTATACCCAAATAATGGATAAAAACTTAAAAAAATCAAATAGTTCGTTATCAGCACGCGGACTATAATTATTATTGAGAATATTTTGATTTTTACAACAAACATTGGAAAGTTCAATTTTTAGTTGACTTTTGTTAACACAAGTATTTTTGTTTCATAGGAATCACGCGTGAGTAATTTAACAGGATGACGGTATTACCTAGGTCAAAGATTGTGCCCCTTTTTAGTGATCTATAATGCGATGACCCTACGCAAATACCTAGATTTATATTTAAGCAATCCAAAATTTGATGGAATTTTTATTGTTATCTCTCTCACACTTACATGAAGAGAGATTCGATGAAATTAATTTCATAAAATTTTGGTCGAACTTTAATAATGTTTTAGTGTTTAACTGAGATTCTTAAAGCTCCAAGTTTTATAATATATGAAGTTTTTATTTTATCCAGCATGTGAGAAAAAATAGCCTTAAAGTTCACCGCACACAGGCACAAGAGGCCAGCTGCGAGCTAATCGAGTTTCCTGATATTTGTTTTAAACAGCCACCGCCGATATTAGGCAAATGGCGGCTACGCGTTTTTCATACATTTAATTCAGCTGGTCTGTCACTTGTGGCTGTAGCGAACACTGTAAAATGGTTTAAAACTTGTAAAATGTTTGACCCCTCTTAAAACAATTTATAAACTGAAGCATGTAGTTTGAATATTCCAAGTCCATCAATAAAATTTGTAATTTACCCATTGACATAAGTATTTTGTGGTCTTAATTTCTTAGAATTAGAGCAAAGAAGTAACTAAATAAAAATTGTTTAAACAAAAATCGATATTTTAGACTAAAAGATTCGATCTAAACTTTTTAATAAAACATTTTTTTAATTGGTCATTTGAATTGGCAGTATTATAGAAGAAAATATATAAATATAGATATAATAGAAGCTTTAGTAGCCACTTTTGAGACACTAAACAGGAATAGAATTAGTAAGTGTAGATTGCACTAGCGAAAAAAATTCAAAATTATTTTAACTTAACACAAATAAAATAAGCTTTGTTCTCGTAAAGGTTCAAAAAGAGAAAGGAACAAGAAATGAGGCAAAATGAGGAACAAAATCATCAAATGACACTGCAGGCAGGACTGAGGACACTACATGAAGCTGGGCCTGAACTAAAAAGAGCTATATCTGGAAATCTAGATGATATTACAACGGAATGTGACGTGCCCATGCACAGAGTGAGTAATAAACATCTGTCATGCATTGCCATCATATCGTCAGATCTTCTCTAAGGAGAAGATTCAGTTCGCCACGTTGATCCAATGCGGGTTGGGGACTTCACACGGGTAACCTATCACAAAGTCGAAAATTTTTTTGTCCGAAATAACGTTTCTTCGAATTTTCATTACACTGGAAACCGAATTATAACGAAACAGTTGTTCTTTCAGGATATGTTGAATGTTTATCGCAAAGGCACGATTAGGTTTGGTTAGGTTAGGTTTAAAAGAAAAAACATTTTCCTCTCAAAATTACTTTCGAGGTTATGAAATTTCGACCAAACGTTATTTCTGGAAAATGTCATTTCGGACTACTGATAGGTAACCCTTCACACGTGTTCCAAGACCTGTAAATCTTTTTCAACATGCAAGTTTTATTATGATGTTTTCTTTGACCATTAGTAGAGGTGTTACTACTGAATGTACGTAACTTACAAATAAAAGTCATGGGTATATTTGGCTACAAGGATTCGAAACGTTGACCACTAATAGGGAGGCAACGCTATTCCAAAGGCTGCATCATGCCATTGCTGTCTCATATCATCCCTTAGGTACCATTTCCACCTTCCGAATATGAAATTGAACTGTTTAATTATTTACATAGCATAGTATATGAAATCCTGGAAATGGGTAAGTTACTAATATGCGATTTGTTACAGAGAAATCATTCGCTGTTCGGTGGTGTATGGTCTAGTATAAGAAGACACGGTCCAAACAGAAACTTCAGAAGGAAAGAGGGGCCTGGAGGTAACTTCCTATTGGTCAGCTAGCCTATCGCCACATTAAGTTAAAAATATATATGTATATATATATAATATAATACATGTATATATATATAATATTTATTTATAGACATATATTTTAACTTAATGTGGCGATAGGATAAGGATAATGTATAATAGGTGTAACACAGTACATTTGGTTACTTTCCATGTGTAAACAACCAAGAAACTTCTTTAGCTTCTTTACTAAATACTTCATTAGAACTTAATTACTTATATTTTTAAATATTTATATCCATTCATTGCACCCTATGCTGGTAATGATTTTAAAATTTTGCTTCCCTGAAAAAAATTGCTATATAGCAATGAAACCGCATGTTGTATCCAAGCTTTATCTTTGGTTTGTCTTTCGTATTTGTTTTGTGCAGTATTATAAAGGTTCTAATAAAAATTTCAGAGGCTGTAGGAAACCACCTCAGTTCAATGATGCAAAAAGAATATGGAGTCAATCCTTTGCCACTCACACCGAACCTGTAAGTAATTTTACAAAATGTTTTTTATGTTTTTAAAGATATTTGGGAATTTTCACTTGCATATGCAACTAAGATGAATATTTGTGTTGTTTTCCAAAAACGTTCATCCAGAACGATATTAGGCTTGAAGAAAGATTTGTACTGTAGAAGCTTTTTTAAAGAGACGCCAAATGATGACCAACTCTACACAAAACATATTCCAAAAAATCATTGAACGTCTTCGAGTAGTTTATAGATTGAGTTTCAACGTTACGAAATGCAAGACAATTTAAATCCGTCGCTCACCGTACCAAACTAGCAACGAGAAATATAGTTTAAGATATTTTTATTTATTATATTCTCCATTACACATGTATAACAACATGGACACGAGCTACAGTTTAAAATGTGAAGTGTTAAAAAAATATGACTACTTCCTTTATGGCGGTCACTGGGCTTGGGCCAGAGTCCATTTTGACGTATGTTGTCAGTTAACATTGATCAAGAACGTCAAAATTGATGATGCAGCAAGGTTTTTATTCTTGAAAGAAATTCTTCGCCGAACTGCTGTTGTGGAGATTATACCTGAGGTGAAAAAAATATTCATGGACAAACAGTAAAGTAAAGCATAACATTATTACAGCATATAAAATCACACAAAATATTAATAGAGGGAGAATATACATAAATTTAAGTAAGGTTAATTGGACGGGGAACATAAGGAGGATGGAGGTCATACAAGGAGGAAGTCAACTTAGGACATTAAAAAAAAATCAGAGGTTCATACAAACCACATTCACACAAGATCTGACAAATTTGCCTAATGTCAACAATGACATTTAATCAGGAGATAGATGATAATATTATCCCTTCACTTCTTAGAGTACGGAAGAAACTTGGCATTGTATTGAAATTATATTTTAATCTTGCATTGCAGAGCCAATGGACAGCCAAAGGAACAAATACCGCTGAGGCCTTTGATATTCAACGGAGAATCTGAAAAGATTTACCAAGTTTTAGAGTGAGTATAACATTATTAATATAACACAAATAATATACCTAAAAAATTTAAATAACGGTGAACGAAATCAAATTCTGACACGCCTTTTCTTCAGGCGTTTAATTACTGAAGTATATTAAATATACACCGTATTACTAAGATATCATATTGCTCTCTTGGTTGAATTTACAACGCTTAAGGGCAATAATTGGATATTGCATTTGATATAGTTAAAATTAATGTCGTTCATATCTAATATTCTAAAAAGATAACTAAAAAGAGCTTATATTGCATTACAGAAGAACCACAAATGATCTTAAGAACGCTATGTACCAAGGTAGCCAAATGTGTGGTTTTCTAAACTCTCTTGAATTGTAATTTTTTTCATTGCACTAACATAAAGTGTGGTCTGCGGGTAACAAATTGGACATTTGCTAAATTTCTTCACAGATACCTACATCCCGTTTGTTTCAAACACAAAATGGGATTATACAACCTAGGAAATGAAACTATTTTTTTTTTTCGAATCGTATATATTTGTTTTTTCAAACAAACAAAAAATAAAACAAACGCGAAAACCTGAGAACTCGATATTATACAACCTCCTATTAATCTTAAATACCTTAATACCACTTTGCTAAAAGGTTGTAGCTTACATAACTAGCATTCGAACAATTTATTGCGCCCAGACCACATACTAATAACAAATTTCTAACACAATAATTCTTTTTCACTGCATCATGTGTGGATTTTGGTAATTATTATAAAACACTAACAGCAATCAGAAGTCAAATTATCCGGAAATGCTAGGACAAATCGGTTTAGCTTTCGGCTGTGTCAATTACTTAACAACACAGAACGAAGCTAACAACACGAACAATGTAAAAACCGCACCAGCAGTTTCAAGACAGAAGATACACCCTGAAGACTTGACTTCTTCTAGAGAAAAGCTATCAATACCAAAGAAGGCATCACCAGAAGATAAAACACCATCGCCAAACGCACCTGAAACTATACAGCCGAAAATATCTCCGTTACTCGCTAGCGAATGTACACCAACGACAGACTCGAAGACAATGACGTTGTATGGCTATAATGCAGCAGCGAAATTGCCGTTTGCGTTTTCGCACGCTAAGGACAGAGTAATGCGGGGTGGGGAAAGGAGGAGTTTACGCACGATCAAGCCAATTGTGACAGGTCGGATGGTGCGGAGCGCGTCGTCTGGGGCGGCGGCCTCGCATGCACCGCCCGCCCAGCTTTTAGATCGCCCACACACGCCAGGTCTGCACGAAAACAGGAAGCTTCCTTCCTTTATTTCCGTTTCTGTATTTAACTTTCTACAAGCAAGCAAATCCCTTACCTTAGGTACTTAGTATAATGTTGAACTATATTCTACGGAATAACGTTAGACTATTTACTGTCAACTAAAATAGCTACTGTGGTGTAATTGTATGCAAAAGAAAAACATCATGAAATACACCTTCACCAAATTTATTATGGAATTGAACTTTATTAGAAATTTTATACATCGATATTTATCGATAGAATTATTTTTAGTATCTTTATCAGTCCGCTTAGTGTTGTGTTTTAATATAATCAAAATTATTTTAGAAATATTACTTGTACTTTTATAATTAACTGTAGTATTAATTCAGCCCTAGCCCAGTATATTCTTATTTAACAATCAAACCTCATACAGAAAGGTGCAACATAAGTGATGTGTTTCATACGTCAACGAACCAGATCTTCGATGAAACCTACATTCGGTGAAATGGTTTTTATGAAATTTTGTAATTGTACAACTGAGCTATATCTCTTGGTTACCTGTCAGTAGTCCGAAATGACATTTTCCAGAAATAACGTTTGGTCGAAATTTCATAAAGTCGAAAGTAATTTTGAAAGGAAAATATTTTTTCTTTTAAACCTAACTTAACCTAACCTAACCGAACCTAATCGTGTCTTTGCGATAAATAGTCAACATATCCTGAAAGAACAACTGTTTCCTTATAATTCGGTTTTCGGTGTAATGAAAATTCGAACAAACGTTATTTCGGACAAAAAATTTTCGACTTTGTGATAGGTTACCATATCTCTTATTTTAGTATTTATATGATTATATATATATATATTTATTTAAGTATTGAAGTTTTTATACATGCAGTATCCAAAAAATATATGTTCCTAATCATCTTTATACGAACTGGGATGACTTGAATAGTTTTTCTAAAGTACCTATTTGACTACCTAACTTGTCACTCAATTTACTTAATATTTATTTGTTTTATAGAGAAGGAAGCTTCCAAACTAGTAGATATAACAAGCATTCACTAATTTCAGGCTTTTCAGGACAATGTTAGAAATCAAGGGTAAACAGCCGGCACGGTATAATTCATATAAATAAATTACTAACACATTTTCACATTTCCACATGGCTTTTTGCAACTTCATGAAATTATTGACGTTTAAGATTTAAGAATTCCGATTTTGTAGGTTATTTGCTTTTTAATCTCTTTTCTTTTATCTCTTTTTCATTTTTTATTTCATATATATTATGTTTATAAGTTAAGTAATAAACCACAATGGACACGTTAATAAACCGGAATTCTTGAGTTATTTAAGTCACAAATCGTAAAAAATTACTATATCGTTACTTTGGACACATAACACAATTTTGCACATAATTGAAAATTTGTAAAATTGTCAAAGTATTATTTTTTATGAAATTCTTAAACCATCAAGTAAAAATTGATAATTGCAGAGTTTTGCCATTCAGAATAACAGCATGTAGAAAACGAATACATTATTCGGAAAGCTAATTTAGTAACGCATTTTAGCATAGATGAGGAAAATAGAAGCTTTTTAGAAGAAATGTTCAGAGTTAATTTTGTTTAAACATGCACGTAAAATTAATTAAAATTCATGAATAAATTTTCACGAGGACAAGAAATTTCAAAAGTCGTCTGTCACAAGATAACTGTAAAAATGTTTAAAACCATTGCTTCATTAGAAACTAAATAGAAACTAGAGCTGGCTTTAACATAGAATTTTATTAACAAGCCTAGAAATAGCTACAATAGATATAATTTGAATATCTTTAAAATCAATTCATGTAATTAGAATCTCTTCACAACAATAGACAAACAATATTTGTTGTAGCACAAGACAAAAATAGTAAGATTTTATTAACTTCAGGGTTAAATAAAACTGTAGTTACTTCTTCACTCATTTTAACCATTAATATTTTTGAAAATGCATAGCCCAGTGAAAGAAATGCCGATGTTGAAATCGGCATTCGAAAAATTCGAGAAAGCGTCTCTCTGCGAACGTGGGAAGTCTTCAACAGCATTGAGTCAGCATGGCGGATTATTTCTTTTTTAATTTTATTCATTTCTCTCAATAGCTTACAATATTACATTGGCAGTTTGTATAAATACAGATAAACAATCTTTTTTTACGAGACGAACAAGTCGTGGGCTTTGTGGTGAGCGATTACGCCTATTGACATTGGCACCAATTGCAGTGCCGCTCAGAGATTTAAATCGCAAAAATCTGTGAGGCACTGCCGCTGCGCCCGTCACCCAGAAACATAATAGTCAAATCACATGTGCCTGTAATTTCACTACGACTACGAAGAAGAGGCAGTACTTCCCTGGACGAACTCAAGGAGATCTACTGCTAAAAATACATATCGCACTGCTATTACAATAGCGCTGTAACTCAAAATATGTTAAATTTAATATTATATCATTACTGAACGTAAAATTTGATTGCCTACACGTCAAAAAAACCTTCGTAAGAAACAATCAAAAGCCATGTACTTAACTCAAAATGAGACACACTTTATGTAAGCTAGTTCTGGCCAAATTAAGACAAATACGACAGTCAACAGGGAAAGGGACGATATTTTTTACATTAAAAAAATTCAACTTATGCAAAATGCACTTTCGACTTTCTCCTAGATTCTGTTTCTCGAATTTACAAATGACGTTAAGAAAAGTTTATTTCATATTCGTGACTGTAACACAGTTTTATTGAACTCTTTTGGAAAGTTCTGTACCTACTTCATCTGAAACCGCAAGTGATAAAAGTAAAATTTGTAGGTGGCGATAGTTTCGGCCGGGACGTGGTATCATTGCCTGGAAGCCCTCGCGCTAACAGCACATCAACTCCTGTCGTCGTAGGATCAGCTGAAAGTCTCGTTACTAGGGTAAGTTGTCACGTCTCATTCTTATCAGCTGATTTTGTATATTTTCCAATTCCTCCCAAAAAACTTGTAACCATGATAACCACAGTTTCTTTACAAGCAGTTATTATTGTTAACAGGTACTAACCGAGCAAGGTTTAGGAGAGTACTGTGATCCAGAATTCGTCAGAAACACATCGCGAGAGATGCAAGAAGCACTAGACATGACGCAAGAGCAGATGGATAGGTAAGATTGTCAAAAATTTCATAAGTTTCAACATTCAAAAAATGAGAACGAAAATTTAAATTCAAGAGATAGAAATAACCAACGATGTTTGATTCTCTATGACCAAACATAAATGGTCATATTATTTATTAGCCTATTGTTGTGTATCCGCTATCGCTGTTGGGCAAAGGCGTCTCCACTTGACTTCTACAGCTCTCGGCTTGGCGTAATGTCAGGCTAGCCCTTTATATACGCGTCTAAGTCATCCGGCCGTGTCCTTCTTGGTCTGCAACATCTGTGTGTGCCTATCTCCGTGAATGCATCCGACAAACGTGTCCAGGCCAGTCCTATTTCAGCAAAATCAATATCAAATACACATACGCTAAACCTGAGCCATTACTACAACTTTGTGCTCTTTTCGGTGGAAACCCCGAGTTCCTGATTATCATAGGTGTAGCTCCACACTAAGGAGCTTTCACATCGGTTTGTCAAATCCTCCGGTGTAGAAAATGGTCGCTATTACTTCTGCTAACGAAAGCTCTTGGCCACAAAAAGGAGACAACCCCCAAACTACGGTCTTCAAGGAAATTGGGTACCTTTGGAAAGTTTTTAATTAACTTATTATTTCCCACTGCTGGACAAAGGTCTCCCCCAAAATCCTCCATTGCTCCCTGTCTTTAGCGATTTCCCACCACACCCTCTCAAAGATCGTCCCGCCAACGCCTTATCGGCCGTCCCCACTGTCTCTTTCTATCCTCGCGCACCCAAGGGGTGACGACATCGCCCACTTCTCGGTTTGCATCAGTGTAGTTTGCATTTTTGCTCCTCACACCAGGAATGTCCGTCATCCAACGCAGCATTGTATTACGTACTCCATCAATACGTTTAAAGCCCAGAATGCTGCGCTCCATTGCCCTCTGGCAGATCTTAGACTTTAGACTTCTGGAACTCATTCAGCGACCATGTCTCTTCACCGTAGGTTAGGATTGGATGGGATTTCTTCTATACTCAATATTATATTTCAATAGAGTAAATTGAAACATTAACCAATCACGTTGCAGAGCGGCGCACCAGCTGATGATCCAAGAGAGAAACATAAAACAAGTGCAGAACCAACAGCCTCAAGTTGTAAGTATCTACTCTTACATAACTTTTATAGGATGACTGCATTACGCTGAGCCTTACTTGGCATCTAGCTCAACTAATGTCACATACATGTATGTAGTTACACTGTTTGAAGAATCCATACAAAACTGATCACACGATAAAAATCATTTCTTACCACGGCACAAGTAGGTACCACGTCTTATACTATGTCATTCAAAATTCAGGCTATCTAAACCGAGCTGGAACTAATAACAAAATGTATGTGATGCTAGTTGTCCTTTGTGCTTGGGCTGGTGTAGCGTGAGCCATCGGATTGTCACTAACATTGCTACTAACTTTTTGAAGTTTTTCAGGGCGTTTTACTACCAGAGTGTAATGAATGTATAGTGTACAATTTGGACTGTTATAGGGCGACATCTTAGCCCGCCAGTACCATCCTTTTCACCAACCCGCGACGATGCCCCCGCCGCCTTACAAGCGGTTATAGCACCAGCCTCTGCGCACGCGCCTAGCGCATACACCGCGCAAGATGGCGGCGACAGCTCCGCTGCAAATGGCGCCCAACACGGCGCGAAGCGACACACGCGCCACAGAAGAAAAAGAAAACGGAAACCCATATTGGTTTAGAATAAAATTAGGAAAGGTTTCTCATTTCATACCCTGATAAGTTAAGAGACTAAACAGTAAATGCTCAAAACACCTTTTGTATAAAAAAAATACTTCAACTTTTTGTTTTAGTTAAAAGTCTAACCAGTCGGAACAAAATAAATTACTTGACGTCATAATAACCTTAACTTGCTGTAGTAGACAGTGAGAAGTGAGATTTAGATTTTCGTAAGATAGTATAAACTTATAATAGATTATTTAAAAATTAAAAGTGAAGGGGAGAGTAAACATTCTAAAATCTTGTATATTATATTGTAAATCGCGCGACCAACTAGTTATGAACGCGTGAGCTAGAACGCTTTATAAGAAGAATTTGACGTCAAACTTCAGAGTGAAATTAAACTATGAAAAGCTGTTATAACAAGCTATATCTTGACCCTTCACTGAAATAATAAATTAAGTTTTCGAGTTGCGAGAGAAAAATAAATTTAAGTGACAACAATAAACAAAAAAAAAACATATATATTATTTTCAATAGTTAAAAAGTGAAAAATATTAAGCACACTCTGTGCTTAATATTTTTCACTTTTTAAAAGTTTAAAAAAAAAATATTTTTTCTCGTTGTCTTTCTAATAGTTAGAGAACGCAATCTTACGTTATCAAATATCAAGATGGAACCATTTTGTTGAGGGTGTTACAGAAGAATATAAATAAATATTAAATATTAGAACGTTTTCCATATTGACCCGGCCGGGGATTGAACCCGAGACCTCAGAGATGGCGACACCACGAAAACTGGTATGAAGGCCACGGACACCGTCAAATATCGGCGGTTGGGGCAGTTATATGCAATGGAAAAACCTATTATTAACCTTAAGGTTCAGTTTATGTTGCGGCGGAACGGAATGGAAGAACATAACAAACTTTATGGTCAATTGTTTAACTTACAAACTAGATAGGAGACCAAAATCACGTCACAAGTCTTCCGCGGAATGTGGGAAGTGGCGCGAAGGCAGACGCAGTGTGGCTTTAAACATCGACGAAATGCTACAGCCTCAAGGTACGGTCGCTAGACCACTCGCCTTCTCGCGCAACGAGGCGAAATTGAAGCTTCCATTTCATTCCGTTCCGCCACAATGTAAATTGAGCGTATGAGCCAAACCGTTGCCAATATCTAATATATCTTTAAAATATAAAAAAAATATAAACGTACAGAACATACAATCAACAAAACAAGGTGCGTTCTCTTAACTAAACTTTTAAAGCGATGTTTCGTGTTATTGAGTAAATCGAGGCAATTTCGAATCAGTTTTAAATTTCCAGTCCAGTATTAGGGCTCCTTCAAATTAAAAGCTTGTAGAAGCGCTGCTTCAGTATTTAGTTCACTAAATTGTGACTACAAAAGTGCACCACAGCGCTTTTATAAGCATCTAATAATTTGTAGGCACCTATATAATTAAAAAATAACTAAACTAAACAGATACGTAGATTGAAACTTTAAAACTTTAGTAGGTGCTATTATATATCTTTCAATTAGTTTAATAAATGAAGCAAATTTTCGATGAAACGTTCCAAACCGGCTAAATATTTTCTATGAAATGTAATTGTAGTCAAAATTGTGCGTACCATTATGTACATTTCTTTCATTGATATGCAAAATATAAGCATTTACCCTTAAATCGGACAATACGAACAAATAGACTTGAATGAACTGATTTTAAAAGCGCCATTACAGAAATGGCAGATCCAATTTTCTCTAGAGCACACTGCAACAAGTAGTTTTTTATTTCTAGAAATATCACTACTTATTCACTAGAAAACTAGACACGAAAAACTAGATTATTACTTTTCATGGCGCCTGCTTACGTGGTAAATAACATTGTGATTCTGACATGGCAGCTACAAGTAGGCGCCAAAATATATAACCTATCTATTTGTGTTAAGCTACCATTGCAACACTCCTAGTTAACGAAATTGTTAAAAACATTAATTTCTTAACTATAACAACAGACGTTGCTAAACAATGTCAATGTTAACAACCAATTCAGGGTTATACACAAACTTGACAACTTTCATCTATTTTATCTACCTAATTAAACTTATAAAACGTAGTGACGTACCTACTTCACAACATTTTACTAAATCCTCAGAGCTTAAAATGAAAAGGGAACAGAAATAGCTCATTAAAACATATAATATTCGCGACACCTAAAAGCATTGCCCTAGAAGTTTTTGAATGTATTTTTAATCAATCATGGCACCATATGCATTGATTCAGAACCTGGGAAAGTTTTCACAAAATAAACATCGCTTTCATATTCCGACACAAAAACGTTATGTTAGGTTACTTTTTACACAAAATCGTTACGAAAGAAATATTACACTTCCACTGCCAACAAAAACATTAAGGGCCAAATTAGATGACAAGTGCTAAGCGCGCGAATCATGACTAAAGCGCGCGAATCATGACTAAAGCGTGCGTATCGTGATTAAAGCGTGCTTTTCATGACTAAAGCGTGCGTATCGTGACTAACCTGCTAAGTGATGAAGTAATTGAGCTGTAACTTACTGTAGCTTAATTTACACCTGTTTTAATAAATGTATAAGTACCTACACTAATATTCATATCAAAATTGAAAACCAAATAAAACTTAAGGTCAAGTGAAACCAAAAAATAGACCTTCCTGCGTATTTCGACCAATCGAAAAATCGGTGTTTTTGTCAACGTTGAAAAATACAAATTCTATTTGTTTTTTTAATTGGTAATGAGAACAGAAGATACCGGTACTGAACTATGAGACGTTTAAAAAAATTACAAAATTCCCCAAAATTTTAATTTTTTAACACGTTTATGTATGGGGAAATCAGTTTTATCATTAGAAATATTTCAATGAATGAAAATTCTGTCCTGTGTTTCGTAACAAATACGTCAGGGGACTATGAACATATATATATATACAGTAACAGAGTACATTTTATTTCGAAAAGCATTATTTTAAATATCGTAAGTATAATGAATTTGTAGACGCCTCTCTCTGCATCTACCTCACACGCCACAAAACCTGGACAACCACGGCCACGATACCATTTCGTCTTAAAATGCTTAAAATAATGCATTGCTTGCTTAAAAAAATAGGGTTGTAAAAATCCACTTGTCCCCACCAGGGGGGACATGTGGATTAGATCGTTGATTCTTATCTACTTACCTTTACTTACAAAATCGATGATTGTTTACACGCATAAATTAAGATAAAATTTAGTCACAACTTATTTAATTACTTTGTCACTTAATAGGTGAAAACTATGACACGAATATTGTTCATAAGTAGTACAATAGGCTTTCAAATGACTGCATAATAACGCGTTTGCGCGCTGCATCCCATTCCTATTCGTTCAGAATCCGAGACTAGACAAATCTCGAAAACTTGGACCCACTTCGGGTGTCGCTTGTGAACTAAGTCCAATTCGAATCCGGGAAAATACAAATATCGCTGGTACACCTAGAGATAATATGATCCCTGTAACATTTCGCACCGATATTTCTCGGATCCGAAACTTTGATAGGAATCGAACGTAGTCCGCTTTTTATGCTTGGCGTCTGAATTGAAATATCAAATATCTCCACCAGCACCATTAGGAATTTAAAGAAACATTAAAACCTTCGTTGTTTTAGCATTATTCGGATACTCCCTATCATATTAGACGATTAGATTCTACTTTGGAATCGTCAAATTTTCCTTGTGAGAGTGATTGGTCGGAAAGTTCTTTTAAAAACATTAGTGAAAACGCACAATGTATAGTACCTAAATATCGACGTTTAGATATATGAATAATGATAATTAATGTCATTAAATCAAATGAAACACGATAAATGAAAAGAGTAACGTTTTCAAAATACACTTGTTTGCAGCTTACGTATTTACATACATCACAGGTGCTTTCTATGTTGGTATTTCAAGCCTGAGCATTGGAGCCAACGTGAAAAACAGCCATTGAATGGTTATTATTATTTATTTATTTATTGAGCAATTGATTATAGAACCATGAGATTAAACAACGTCATCATATTTTTAAATTAAAAATCATTAATTAGTGCAAAAAACAGTAACTGCATAAATCCGCCATTTTTTGTAGTCCCCAAAAATTTACTCGATAAAACTAAGATCGTTGGTTCCACCATCTAAGTGGGGACATAAGTACTTGAAAATCCTACTGGACCCACTAGTGGAACCAAAATGTGAGCCATGGGAATTGCCCAGCACAACGAAAGCGTGAAGAGGGGGCTTTAGAATATTTGTGGGCCGCGTATTTGATAGCACACCTTTTTTGTTAAAGAAATTTAAAAACGTTTGTAATTTCCCTGAAAAAGTATACTAACCTAACGCAAAAAAGCCAGTAGAAAATTTATTTATTAAATTATACCAGCAATAAATACGCATTTATTTACATTCGTAAAAAATCTAAAATCAATTCACATTACGTCTGGCTCATGATCGGTTTTCAATATTATATAATACGTTTTCAAAACGTATTTACTTCAAGTAAACTCTGCAAAAGTACATCTGCACGATTAAATTTAAAAAAATGTCTATAACGTCCGAGTGCTGTACACGAATCTTCTTCAACAGTAACTAAAGTCTGCCCATATTGGCCCAATAACCGTCTTTATTATTAATACCGACCGTAACTAAAAATGTTTAAAAAGCAGTTTTATTTCATTACAGTAAATATCTATATCGTATATATAATTAGGTCTAAGTATTATGCAATTTTTACCCCTTTAGCTGATGACGTCCCCCTAGAAAGTGTCCTTTGATATGTAAAATATCATTAAAACCTATTCACCTATATACCACATTCCTCTAGATATAAGAATTGCCTTTGTGTAATGGTTTTCCAACCGTAAAAGATCTTTATTAATGTGTTACAGAATACCTACACAGTTTAAACTGAAAGTCCGTATTAATAAATCTACCTCAAGTGCAGGATCGATGTTGATATCTTGCTTAAGTCAATTGTCTTCATTAATTAATTTAAATTGAACGCACAACAATCATTGATACGTCATTAAAATTTGAAAATTTTCGCTTGTTAATGAACATCAGTCAAATACAATTTGAGATGGTATCTTCCAAGATAACGATGATTGTAATGTAGAAATATAGAAGAATTTAAGATATATTTCTATATTTTAGTGTGCTATTTATTAATATGGACTTAATATTTTTACAATTAAATGAAAGTTTTTACAAATGATTATTATTTATCAAATATTTTCATTTATTATTTTTAAAAATAAGTGTATAGTATAATTACTAAATAAAAACTTGACGTACACACGGTACACGTCAATAAATTCTCACTAGTTAATATTAAAAATTTCCAAATGAAATATTGATCATGTCTCTCTAGTGGCAAATGTCCTTCCATCGCTGATGCGATTTTCATTTTCTTTTATAATAGTAAAATTAAGATACCTTAATACAATTTTCCATTTTATCATTACCAGTGTAATTTATTAATGATTTTTTTTACAATTAATGAAAAGGAAAAAATATATATTTTTTCAATCTCAGGGTATATCACCTTGTCGTTGTGAGTAGCTGCCACCTGTTAAGTTTCGGTATCAAAGTAGCCTGGGAACGATCTACGGCAATGTTGTATAATTGTTAGAATACATTTATTTAAAAAGTTCAATATTATTTTTCCAAACCTCATTTGGTAATTTTTTTAAATTGGAAAAATAGAATATAAGAATATTCAGATTTTTTCTTTATTTTTTCTCTATTGAACACTAGTCTCTTTGTAAAACAGCTGTAATTGTCAAATTGATATTTTATTTATTTATTCTTATTATTTTATTATTTAGTTATTTATTTAGTATTTTTATTATTACCATTTTCTTCATTTGTATATGTGTAAGTTTTACTTTTTGTTATTATGTATTTGTCCGTGTGCAATAAATAATATTTTTATTGTATTGATAATTACTCGTAGGAGAAGAACGAATAAGAAACTCTAGTGCAAGGTTTCTCTGTCTCAAAATTTCAAAGAGCCCAGAAAAAGAAAAACGCGTGTCGTACTCTCTCCAATAATGTTCGCAGTCCTAATTACTCGCAACATATTGTATACCAATTTTTATATCAATGCATTATGTTAGTAGTGTTAAGTAGACTCGCCATGGATCCCTAGTGTTCATTACACGGATCCCTTATAGTCCATGGACCATAGGTTGTGAAACCTTGTTCTAGTGGTTGACTGGTTGCCGCTACTTGCACACAAAGTTCCACCACGTTGTTGTTAATTCTTCCTCTATATCTTCAAAGTGCCAATATCCAATTATTGAATGTTTCTTTTTTTAATCAATTGTTTTAGATTTTTCTATTTAAACACTCTGAATATGGCCTTGGTTGTCATTTGTCTATACTATATTCTGTTAGATCTTTAAAATGTTGATATGTTCTACAGATTGTCAAATACATGTGGAATAATTATGGACACAGCTCTCTGCTTTTCTTTTGGTATTTAATATATAAAAAAATTTAAACTTAATTTGTTACATAAATGGAAGAAATTATTAATGTAAATATTGTTGCACAGAGTCAAAATACATTTTGTATAATCAATTAGCTCTAGTAACTACTTCAATTGTATATATAAAAAAAATTGTAAATAGAATTAATGAAAATGTGAAAAATATATTTATTCCGACAATCATTATTAATTGCGACATGATAATTAAATATTTATTGTTTAAAACAAACATTGTAAGATTGTTTTCATATAATAAAAAACATTATGGAAATGTTTTGTAGTCGTTTGTAATTCTTATTAACACTTCGCTCACCTACTGCTCCTCACTTCTTGTAATGTTATGGAAATGGATTTGAGTTCATTTCAAGTTTATGACGTATAAAAAAACTGTGTGAAAAATCCCTTTTTTCCTATATCTATGGAAAAACTAAGTACAAAAGATCCGACAACAAGCACATAGAAAAATTCATAAGGTCCGCTGGTTCATTCCGTGACTTAGTTGGTATAGCGTATGCTAGAAGACGTCGGTTCGAATCCGGCCGGATCGAAAAAAATTTTTCTAAGTGTTCACTCTTTGTATTAATAATTATAACAAACTAGTGGAGTAATTTCACAAAAAATAATTTAATACCTTTCATAAATTTTATAACCGGTTTGTAACCGGTTCTTGGTCACACGCCTGTCATCTCTATGACTCGTGATAAGTCCTGCCCGACTTCATTTTAGCTCCGATCTCCAATGTTCTTAGGTTAGGAACTCTTTAAAACTAGAGTCTCAATAACAAAGTTCTAATACTCGTAAATGCAAAGAAAAATTTCTTCGATCCGACGCTGCATTTGCTGCCACAACATGGCTACCGTCCGCGGTGTTACCAACTCAGCTACGGTCCGAGCCAATAAATTTTACGAATTTTCTATGTGCTTATTGCGGGTTTTGTGTGTTATATTTGATTTCAACGGCTTTTTTGCTGCAGCGCCACCTTTCCTCACTCAGTCATACCCAGTCACCTGTACTTTCTTCTACTCTATTTATTTTTTAATTACACTCAACATAGCACCGCACTAGGGAAACCCTGTGTAGCGAGTGCCATGGACACACACATACACAACCACAAATTACACTCATACTCATGAGAGTAATGAAAGTAGGCCATACTAATGTTTCTCCCGGCCCGGGAATCGAACCTGTGACCACAGCGTGGCAGACCGGCATGATAACCGTTCAGCCACGGAGGCAGTTCAATAGTCCATTTGTTTGTTATTATTATAATTATTAATTTATTATTTATAATTATTAATACAAAGATCGTACACTCAGAAAATATTCCTTCGATCCGGCCGGATTCGAACCGACGAACTAAGCCACGGAATGAACCAGCGGACCTCTTGAATTTTTGTAAATGCTTGTTGTTGTCTTTGTATTTGGTTTTTCAACGACTTTTTAGTCGTAGTGCCATCTATGAGAAATCTATGAATCTATCGATTGAAGTAATTTTTTCTGAGTGATCGATTTTTGTATTAATAATTAGAGCAAACTAGTGGAGTAATTTCACAAAAATAATTGAATATTAATTCAATAAAAATTTATTAATATGCTCTCTCAATCAAGCCACGGAACAAACCAGCAGACCTTACAAATTTTTCTATTTATTTGTTGCAGATCTTGGTTTCAATTTTAAACGACTTTTTTGCAGTAGCGCCATCTGTGAAAAAATTATTTCTTCTCTCAGCGAGGTACACAGCAACTACATGGAAAAATTTGTAAGGTCAGCATAGCTTCTGGCACAGTTTGCTGTAAGACATTAATTCGAATCCAGCCAGATTGAAGTTTTTTTCTAAGTATTCGATCTCTATTAGTGATCTTCTGTACTGTAGAGTATTTCTATCGTTAAGAAAAAAGTACAGGCAACCAAGCAATAAACTATCCCACCTGAAAAAGAATGTAAGTACAACCCTCTTCGCAATTCTAAATAGAAACTACACAATGACAAAGTAAGGACTCTTAAACCTTTTATTTATTTTGAATTCGCAATCAGTAAACAAAACTGTACTAAAGATGCAGGCTACTTTTAATTTTATTTACAAGGACTCGAAATATAGCAAACAATTCTAGAATCGGCAGAGTAAAGTGTTTAAGTAAAACCAACGTACATTTATTTAAATCAACAGACATCACATAAGTCAAATTCATTTGTTTCCACTTAAATTCACATAAGTGGCATCATTTTAACCTTCATATCTCGTTATATACAATGTAGAACAACTTGTTTATTTTTTTTACTATTGTGCTTAAGTCTGCCACCAACCCCAGATTATAAAATCAATAAATGACATATTTATTTATCAATCAAAGTGCCGCGAACTCTCTTTTCTTGTGTTTGTGCTGGTGTCTCCGCCTGCCTCTTGTTCATCCCTTTGCGCTCCAATTGTTTCTCAATAATCCTCGCATTATTAGCATACGAGTCTGCAACTTCCCTTGCTTCGATTTCATCCTCTTCTTCGTCTATTGTGGACACAGTCACCGAACTAAACTTGCCCATGTTTTTCGTATGTTTTGTAACCATAATTTTCTTCGGCTGCGTCAATGCCACTTGTTTGTAAATATCTGTTACAGCACCGTCACCTGCGGACTGTACTAATGCCCCTCTCATAATAAAGACTACGTTACTCTCTTGGTCGAATTTGTAGTAAATGGCAATTGCGCATTTCTTACATTTAAGCCTGTATTGGCGTTCTATGCCCTTCTCTCGTTTCAAATATACAGTTTCATCTGGATCGCAGGTGAGTTTATGAGCGTGCTTAGATCCGTCTATAACTCTGGCTCCGTCAGTAGGGCGTAAAGGTAGTCTGTCGATGGTACAGTCCAAAATAAGCGACATTTGACCACATAGACAGTAGTATATATGCAATGGTTTTGTTTCATTGTATTCTTCTTGATCTTTTGTGTCTGAGCAGACGATACTTCTTGACACTACTTTAGGCATTTCGAATGTGCTCTTAGAACTGTATCAGCAAAACTGATTTTGTAAAATATGACGAGAAGAGACACGTGAGAGGTTTCACAATATTATTACCCGTTATGGTTTTTTCAATTGCTTAGAATTCGGGGTAAAATTCCTTTATTTTTTTCCAGCAAAGGATAAAATCACAAATAAATTACGCACTCTGACAATTTACTTTTTAAATCCGTAGTCACCAGTATCTACATTAGAGTAGAACACGTTAAAAATAACGTGATAACAAGCCAAAAACTTGTAATTACCGTTGAAAATTCGTTACTTTGTCTATGGTTTGATTTGTAATGTTGGTAACTGGTACTGTCAAGTCAACTTCATACAAGTGCGATTGTCTTTTATTCCAGTTTCTTTGCACATGTTCATCGATTACTTTAGAATTTAGGGAAAGTATAACGAATTGGTGTGTAAAATGGGTGCTATAGCAAGCAGATATCGTGTACATAACGCAGGTCTCATAAGCACCGACATAAAAAATGTAGAGGCAGAGAAAAAACGTGAGAATCCCGGAACGTTGGATGAGTTGCACAAAAAGACCAAAGGTAAAGGTATTTGGCTGATTCACGGCTGTTAGAGTTGTTAGATTTGTATAAAAACCATATTAGAATCCTGTAGGAGTAATTTTGTGTAACATTCAGTCAGAAAAGCGTCATAAACAAACGTTGCCAGTCCGTCAAAAAGTTTGGTTAGCATGTGATGTAATATCGAGAATGCTTGAAATATACTATATATTTCTACAAGTACGAACATATAAACACACAATACTCGTTAATTGCATTTATGTATTTCCTGGTGACTGATTGATTTTTGTTCATGTATCTAATAAAGAGGTTAGACGATATTTACTTTGTGATAAGATAATAAAAAGCGTATAGGGACGAGTACCTATGTGTATAGCACACGTTGTAAGAGTTAGATGTACAAAACAGAGAATATTTTGCATAAATATCAATGATATGGTACAAAAATGGGCATTGAAAACAGAGTGATACTTTTACAATAAAAAAAAAATTACAAGTTTTAATGCTTGTTTCTGATAGATTATACCCGAATGAAACACTTTTTATTTTTATATTCTTTTTGTAACCAATTTTCTTCTTATTTCTTTTAGTTGTTATTTTTTTACTTTCTTTTATATACATTTTATTTTATTCAGAACAACAACAGCTATAAATAACAATTGACAATGAATATTTTTAGGTAAAGTGCCAATTATAGTTATCCACATTCTCGTTTTCAAATATCTAAATCTTTATGTCATTTGGAATAAAGAGTCCTGTGACTCTTTTCTTCCTTCTTCATTAAATGGCTTATTGTGTTCTACTGATTCAACTTTCCAGTATTCTTGACTTTTTCAAACAACTCAAGCCACCTAAATGCTTTTTGTCAACCAGAGATCTTGCCAATACATTTGTATGTAGTGATAGTCGAGACTTAGATTTACCAGTATCTCCTGTTTAATAGTTGGCATTTCAAGATAGTCATGTATTTCCTGGGCTCTTAAAACCAAGGTGATTGAACTATAGTCTTTAGTACACCATTTGGAAGAGCTGAAGAATTTCCACATTAGAAGTGCTGGCTGGTTCCCACAACTCCACTGCATATCGACCCCTCCTACGTAAAGTATCGTATGTCGAAATTGCCAAGTTTACAGGGAAGTGTTTTAAAGTTTTGAATCCACTGAAAGGAACATAACAGGTGACTTTAGCATTTTTCAGTTTTATTCGGCAAACGGTTACTCACACAGAGTATTGTAAAATCCTACATATCGGTTAGATGATCTATTAGATTAGCTTTGTCGTGTTATGCTCGTTTCAGTGAATTCAGAACTTTAAAATGGTTCCCTGTAAACTTGGCAATTTCGACATACGATACTTTACGTAGGAGGTGTAGATATGTCCATATCGGTTTTAATACCGACTTATACAACAATAGCTTAATCTCAACTTAAAATATAAAATGAATCTGTTTATGGTTCAAGGACTTATTGCAGATGGATACAAAATAAAAAAAATAAAAAATAAAATATCTGAATTATGATAAAAGTTAACACCTCAAAAGAAAAAAATAAAACAAAATTTCCTACATTATGAAGCATAGCAAAAATAGTAAAGCGATGTGAAGTGTGCAATCCTGAACAAAAAAATCTTTACAAAAAGCATGCATTTAAAATAAAAATAAAATAATGTTGATATGTAAATAAACACAAAACAATAAAAATAAACCAATTCTGTGAGTGGTACTCCACACTGTATTCAAAATTCAAAGTTACTTTCAGATAGGACTGTTTCCAATCACCTTCTAAAGTGAACTTAGTTCCTACAAACAGATCCTGTGTATAACATTTATCTTCCTATAGTTCAAATACTCTTACTTTGTAGAGAAGACCCATGCCCAACAGTGTGACTTAATATGGGTAGAATGGATAGCTTTGCAATGTCATCGCCTTAGAGTGAAAACCTCATATATGCATTTTCACATGGTCCATTTTTGTTGGCCAAAAACTTAGAAACTTCAAATATATCATTAAAGTAATAAAGTATCTGAAAGAGGTATAATTTAACCAATTAAAATGCTAACTACACACAATATTCTGTTTACTACATTTTACACCACATTTTTATCTTCGTCCTGAAAAATTACACTGAAATCCCTTACGAGGTTCACTCTAAGATAACTTCCTAATAAGTAACATTAAGATAGAATGCCGAGATTCCTGGAGGAGCTCAGGCAGTACAAAAAGGACCCGCCACACGCAAAATAGGCGCTAACTCGTCGAGTTGCGGAAACTAACCCCTTACACCATAATAATAAATGACTCAATAAAAAAGTAGAATTAGCTCCCAGTTACACGAGGCGAAAGTTTTCGCGCGGCCGCCCAGTTACCACGCCTTCGTGTACATTAATGGCGAATCTGAATTCTATTTACTAGGCAACAACATTTAAATTCCTTTGAATAAAACCGTACGACCACCACACTTGACTGAGTTGATTTGTTTGTAATGTGTTTTGTTTTGTTAAGTTGATTGTAATGGCTAAATGAATTGTTTGCTTTTATTTGTATTTGCAGTCGACAAAGCTGATTATTTTAGGGTTAAAAAAAATTTCTGGAACAACTCGAGAAACCCGGGCATGTAGGCATTCCCGAAGCTTCAGAAAACAAAATATGCCCAGAAATCGAAAAACCTAGTCATTATTAACCTGGTCTTGAACTAGAGAACACTTGTACTGTGAATACCAGAGTATAGAGTTTGCAAAATATTATTTGCACCAATTCGTCTTATCGCTTCATCTTTAGAATACAATGTGTTAGAGTGCAAACAACTAGTTTAAATACTTTTTCGCATTGGAACTTAATTCTAAACTTGGTAATCTTTACACAGAAATAACTTGTTTTAAAGATTAGTAAGAAAAGAGTCTGCAGTCGGTATTCTGCTGAGTAAAGAAATAATTCAAAACTAGAATCAGAAAAAGCATTTAGTGCAACCATGACTCGTACAATGGACCAAGATTGTTAAAGTCATGTATGTTTTAATTAAAAGAACAGTTAATGGTTTTATTGCCCTATTGTAGCTATATGTATATTATAGCCGTGGGGCGACGGCTTAAGAATACATTGTCGCCTCCCCATACATGCCCGTGGGGGTCGTAAGAGGCGACCGAGGGCGTCACAAGTGTCCATCTGCTTAGCATTGTGGTAGGCTCTGTGCCGACTGGATAGCGACCACAGTACACACGGCGGAAAACCCTCCACAGTGAAACGCTTTTGCGAATCGCGTTCAGGGATCAGTTGGTGTACATCCAGTGCATTTGGCCAGACCGGCAAAATGATAGTGACGGAGTGAAGATATTTGTGTTTTCCATCCGTTACTCTCATCTCTGGACTGTATTCGCACTTTCCATCAGGCGCGGTGCAGTCATTTTGTCGAGTCGCAATAAAAAAAAAAAAAAAAAAAAAAAATTGTAATAGAAAGGTTAAGACGTTCCAAGATATGACATTCATCGGTGCAAATAATATTTCTTCAACTATAATAAAATTATCTTTGAGAGGTTCATACCTCTAAGACCAGAAATGTTTGTTTCCTAAATTAATTTTCAATCCTAGGACCTCTTTATCAAGCACTCAAGGTAGCAAGGAATCTGAAGTTGATGTTAATTGCGTCTAATCAGTATTAACTGGATTGATTTTGTTTCAGATGTAATGCCAGTCAACTTTGAAGGTGGCAAGTTGATGGTTAACAAAGGAATATCTAATCACTTTCAGGTAAGATATTATCTATAACAGCATCATAAAATTATTACATTCAAATAAGTGAATCAAGATATCTTTTTGGTGAAAGATAAGAATTGAAATCCATTAGACTATATTTTCTAATTGAATTTCGTGATTTTAAATAAATAGACGCCACAGATTCGGACAATATCAATAAATACTCACTCCTTAGAAAACATATCTTCAGCCAGGACATAGAGCCTTCAAAGAGTACAAAACAACATCCTTTGAACTATCAGAGGTGCCACATGATACACCAGAAACACTAAAATCCACGAGTAGTTGGAGATTCTAACGATTCTAGAAGAGATGGAAACACGGCTCGATTCTGAATCCACTCACTAAAGCATTGATTGATTGTGGCAACATCAAGAAATTAAAATAAATGCGTGTGTTTCATAACTAAGAGAAGCTGAAGTCATGGCTTCTTTGCTCTCAAATGCCATAAACTACTCAAAAAATTTAGTTAGTCTGGCGAGTCAGAACATAGATAGTACTGAGAACTGTATCCTGTACACGATGGTTTACAAGGAATACAGAGATCCATGAATATTTGAATATACCCAGTTTCAAAGAAGAAGTACACAGCTACAGCAAAAAATATAAAAGCTGACTCCTTATCCACAAGAAACCTGTTACATTCACAGAACAGAACACGGTTGAAGCGATGTCTCGTCAAACTTGAATGCTCGCAGAAGCAACTCCCTTCCATCGCCATTAAGAAAACCCATCTGGTTAAGTCTTTTACAAGCTAAAGGTTGAAAATAATAATTGTCTGGCGACTGATTGTAGATATTTCAACAAAAAAGGACAAAGATAATTGAAGCTATTAAAATCGTACAGTTCGTTGATCATGCCTCCAACTTGTAATTAAATAATGAATAATTTATATAAAAAATTGTAAGACTTTCCTGGTTATGAATAATCCCTTTTAATATTTAAGATCTGGGATTGTACCCAACCATCTCTGTTCAGCGCTAAAACTTTGAGCTTCTCATATGACACGACATTAACTTCTGTCTTTCTTTCCTTCGATCGTCCATGATATAATGCTTCTAAGAAAACTGTCGTGACCTATTAGGGCGCATATAATCGCAGCTTCAAACGAGTCTATCGTGCAAACGACAAGGTGGCTGACGTAAACCGATAAATTGTCGTCACGGTCTAGTGGGAACAGCTACACACGACAGTCGTTCAACAATAAAATAAACGTCCACGACACAGTCACAACAGATAGTCTAGATATGGGAACAGGCTAGACGCGACTGTCGTCCAACGATAAATAAAACGTTACGACATTATGGGAACGCGCGCTTAGATGTCGTAGTAGCTTCCTTTTCCTGCACTAATACTTAACACCTCCTCAATAAATAAATAATCTGTCCTTAAAATTACGACTTAGACAGATATTGAATCTTCATTCCAGATGTCTCACACACTAACAATGAGCTCGACACAAAATGGCTACAAGCTGGGTGCAACGTATATTGGCACGAAGCAGATATCTCCCACAGAAGCCTTCCCTGTGGTCCTAGGGGATGTTGACCCTTCTGGGAACGTCAACTTCAATCTCATACATCAATTCACCAATGAAATTAGGATTAAAGGAGCCGCCCAGGTATGTTAAATTGTAGACATCGTCCTCAAACCAATTTATTGTTTTTGTTTACAACTTTTGATCCATGACTTTTTACAAAACATAATAAAACTTGTGAGCTTTTGTTGTACTATCTGACACTTTTTTGGATCTGTATTTGATAGAATAAGCATGAAACACACAGACAGCATGTGCGTCTCGCGCCCGCGGTCCCGACCCGACCCGCACCCGACTCGCACCCGACTCGCACCCGCTCCCAGCCCGTTCAAAATCACGATTAAGTTAAACGTGCAAGCGTCCTCCGCGACGACCCGCCCCGTCCTGCACGGAGCTATTATCGTTTAGAGCGATCTATTTATTTTTGTATGAAAGTAAAATGGGACGAATTATTAGAAATCATAGAACAAAAGTTGTTGTTTATGATGTTAGTAATATAGTCCCGTGAGGTTGTTAGCTTTTTAAAAATAACCCTATATTATGTGTAGGAAATCAGAACTTTCACTAACCATTTAATATTGACCTTCTAGGTACAGGAATGTAAACTGACAGCGACTCAAGGAACATTGGAATATAAAGGCCCTGACTACACCTTGGCTGTGGCTATTGGTAAACCTGATCTTAGTGAAAAATCAGCTGTCTTTGTGGGACACTACTTACAGGTAACTAAGAAAATTGATCAGCTCTTTTTTTCAGCGCTGTACACGAGTGGTGCGCCTGATGGTAAGCTACACGCCTGTCCATAACAGTTGCAGTGGCACTCTGAGCTTTAAATCGCAAAGATCTGAGGGGCATTGCCACTGTGCCCGTCAACCTGAGACATGAGTTGACAAATCCCATGTGCCTGTAATTTCACTGACACCCTTACCCTTCAAAACCGGAACACAGTAATGCTGACGTTACTACTTAGCGGCAGAAATAAGTAAGGTGGCACTATTTCCCTAGGCGAACTCTCACAAGGAGCTCTACTGCTACTTGTACTTACTTTTGTGTATAGGTGTTACTGTGCGGTAATATCTATTTGTCTGTGTAACTTGTAAAAACTTTCAATATGTAGGAATGTTAATAAATCTTCACTCAGTGCGGACATGCAACAATTAACGGGCTTGGCGTGCACGCACCAGCTTTCTCGCCATTGTTAAATTATTTGCTCCAACCTTCCTTGGTCAGGTTAGCACTGTGAATGATAGATGCAAATTTTCTAAATAGATTCAGGTTTTGCTGAAGTCGAATGTTAATTAAATTTGGTAGCAGTAGAGCTAACCTTTTTTTTTTAAGCCCCGAGTCCGGGCGGCTCGGAGGTTATGTGGGAGTCCCGGCGCCCTGAAAAGGGCGCTGCTCCTGGGTCTAGTATGGACCCAGGGGTGTACCCACTAAACCCCATCGGTTTGCCTCTCGCCGGGTTTGTGCCGGCGCCTTGGGATCATACAGTAGAGCTAACCTAACTTAACCATACCTATATCTGCCGCGAAGCAGTAATGTGAGCATCGCTGCGTTCCGGTTATGAAAGACGCTGGTGAAATTACTGGCACATGAGACTTGTCTACTTATGTCTCCGGGTGACTGGAGCAGTGGCAGTGCCCCTCAGATCTTTGTGATTTTATGCGCTGAGTGGTACTGCAACTGTTACGGGCAGGCGTGTCACTTACCACTAGGTGAGCGACTTATTCGTCCCGTTACTTAATGGAATGACATTTATTTCTCTCGTGACTTTTTTGTGTAATTTGTGATGTCTATATGTGTGTCCATGGCACCCGCAACACAGGGTTTCTCTAGTGCGGGCTATATGGGCGTTTAAAAAAAAATGTAAATTTCCATACTGTAACCAGCTAGATGTGAGAATCTATTACTATAAATGTTTATATATCTCTGTAAAAACAGTAGTGGTTTTTGTTTATATAATATTACTGTGAATAAAAATTTTGTTTTAATCGATGTCTTTAAATACCCTTTCTACTTATCGGCACTTAATAAATGCCACTTCTATCTGTCGGCAGTCCGTCACGCGACGACTAGCGGTAGGCGCAGAGCTAGTATACCAGTCAGGAGCGCGCGTCATGGGAGGAGAGATTGCCATCACGTCTGCCGCCGCTCGGTACACCATGGACGGTGCGTACTTTCCATTATTTATGTACGGGGAAAACTAATGATTTCTCAAAAAAAAAAAATAGGTGTTAAAGTATGAAATTGCCGATTTGTACTGAAAATCTAAATTGTTTATTTTTTAAATTTTTAACAAATTTATTTAATCAAAATAGTTGCCATTATTATCTATACATTGCTGCCATCTAATGGGAAGGTTATTAATGCCTTTGCGATAGAACTCCGACGATCTAGACTGCACAAACTGTGTGAAAGCATTTTGTACTGCCTCCTGGGAAGAAAACTTCTTGTCACGTAGATAATTGTCCAAATCACGAAAAAAATGGTAGTCCGTTGGAGCAAGGTCTGGTGAATACGGAGGATGACGAATGGTTTCTAACTGCAGTTCCTGAAGGGTCAAAATGGTTTCTCGTGCTGTGTGAGGTCTCGCGTTGTCGTGGAGCAATAATGGTGAAGATCGATTCATGAGTCGGGGCTGTTTTACTGCTAGTTTTGTCAACATGGTTCGGAGCTCGGCACAATAGACATCTGCCGTTATTGCTTGACCAGATCGGAGAAAACTATAGTGAATAACACCATGCTGAGACCACCAAACAGTTACCATTACCTTTTTATTGGTAAGTTTTGCTTTAGGACACTGTTGTGGCATTTGACCTGGGGTCAGCCATTGCATTTTTCTTTTCCGGTTATCATAAAGAATCCACTTTTCATCACATGTTACAATTCGATCCAATATTCCTTCATTTCTGTACCGGTTCAACAAGGCAACACAAGTTTCAACACGCGTTTCTTTCTGCAGATCAGTCAAATCATGAGGCACCCATTTTTCGTATTTTTTTATTTTATTGATTTGACGCAAGTGAGTCAATATTGTGGGTAAGGTAACGTTAAACCATGCCGCTAATTCCTGGGTAGTTTGACTAGGATCGGCTTCCACTATCTCTCTTAATTCATCGTTATTCACCTGTGTGGGCGGTCTTCCTCGTGACTCGTTCTTTAAGTCGAAATTTCCATCACGAAAGCGTTTAAACCAAAATCGCACGGTGCGTTCATTAGTAGACCCCTCTCCAAACGCAGCATTGATATTGCGGGCTGTTTCTGCCGCGTTAGTTCCGCGTCGGAACTCGTATTCAAAAATCACTCGAATTTTCGCAGTATCCATTTTTCTTGTCTAAATTGAATAACAAAAACAATTGAAAGTCGATATTCAAATGTTTCAAATTTTAAAAAAAAAAATCACAGAAACCATTTGAAAAAAGTTTCATTCGAAAACCTCAAAACCATGAAGATTCTATGAAAATTCAAAGAACCTATTGCAATAAAACGGCAATTTCATACTTTAACCCCTAATACTTATAAATAAATGCAATTAAAATTTCAAAGACAATAATTTGAGCTATTTTGGATGTAGTGAACACTATTCACAAAACTTAAGTTTAAAATGTTAAAATTTCAGACTCTGAGATATCAGCGACGTTGGGTGCTGCCGGATTCCACGTGTGCTACTTCAAGCAAGCCAGCGAACAGCTACAGGTGAGCTCTTCCAGCTGACACCACACCGTATTAGCCAAACCTCAAGAATCTCAAAAAATTACGGTCCATTTCTTTGCTTAGAAAAATACTTCTCTCTTAAACATTTTAAACTCGTTTAAACATTTTTTAAGATAAATATGTTAAAAAAGTTTTCAACATTGTGTTGACAGCAAAAAACGAGAGTAAGCCGCGGAAGGCTTAGGGCTCATTCCCACTATGTCGTGACGACGTATCGTGCAGTTTAAAGTGTCGTGGCTTGTACATTACAATGAAGTTGTTCACACATAGAACCACACGGTTGACTCTCGTTCACGACTTTTTTGACGTTGCGACGACAAACTGTCGTGATAATCATCATTCATCAGACGATAAATAAAACGTCGCGACAAAAATGTGACGACAAATAATCGCAGCTTCAAGCGATTCTGTCGTGCAAACGTGTCTAGTGGGAACAGCTAGACACGACAGTCGTTCAACGATGAAATAAACATCCACGACACAGTCACAACAGATAGTCTTGATATGAGAATAGGCTAGACGCGACAGTCGTCAAACGATAAATAAAATGTCGACGACACAATGGGAACGCGCCCTTACCTGAACTGAGTAAGTTTATTTGTAAAACGAGCGTTTTATTTTCATATTTGCAACCATCAAAGGTCAATGTCACGGAAGAAAGAAAAAAAAATGGAAATGGCATTAAGCAACATTTGTATCAAAACCGATGTCGCCACAACACTCGATGTGGTAACAAATGTGTGCGACATTTGAAAACGTAATCTCACATTAGTACTAAGATAACATAATTTTGATTGGTTATAAATTATCAAACGAAAATAGACAATAATAAAAAACTTTTGGTAAAAAAAATTGAAACTTATTTGGATCCAATAAGGTTTTATTATTACTAGTCACATAAAAGCTAACAATCCTATAGACATAAACTTCTTGGAACAAAAGCGAAAAGTTGACAATCTACAGATAGGGATGTGACATTTAACTGATATCGACATTAAGTTTCATAACTAGAGGAATATTGAACTAGTGTTGTTTTATACTTGCTATAATTAGGGTTTACCACGTAGTATATAGAGACGGCATTTAAGACAATTCTTCGAAAACTAGCGTAACTGATTTTACACACACACATTTGTTACCAAATACGCATAAAGTTTTACTACACGCAAATATTAATTAATATTAGATACGCAGGTGTGCTACAATCACAGTATTAATGATTTATTATACTGTCGTCGTACTTTCATTAACCTACTAGATTTCTAGTCAATCCGATCACTGGAAGGGTTGAAATATTAATACACAGTCATCATAAAAATCTTTATTCTCCCTGAAATATGATATATTTGTTCAACAATTACCTCTTTCTGAACCGACTGAACATGACTACACTTATAGCGTCGACGAGCTTGTCAAGAAAATGAAGGTACTTATTTCCGAAGGGGAAGAAGCGAATCATTTGTATCATGAAAACTTGACGAAAAATAACTGACAATGCTTCAGAAATGTTTTCACTATTAGATGTGTTCTATAATTTGTGAATGCGACTCATTAGTTTCATGGTATATATTACCTGATTAACCAAATAATTTATTTCTTAATTAATTTTTCGGCTGTTATTCATATGTAAGTATATAATTTAATGTGATGTCACGAAATGCCTATAGCAAATGGCGTTACATTTAGTAGGTACCCAGCTTTTGCTGCCTGTTGCTTCAGCCCATTTCTCCTTTAAAAAGGATCCGGCGGGAAACTAAAAAAATCAATACAAAAACTGCAAATGTAAATCATGCCTGTCATAAAACTAAGAACTCAAGGGAGCGAATGTGACGTATAATAAGCAAGTAGGGAGATAGGAATCATGTAGATAAGGGAAAGAAAATCTCCAATCTTATAAAGTCTTCATTTGATAATCCACGAACTTACATGCATTGTAAAATTATCGACACTGTACCTCTTCTATCTATATTTCCTTTATTTCCATTATATCGTTTTTACTTCAATTGAAAATTTAATAAAACTATTGCGAGTGTTGGGACCAAACATTTCAGTAATTAAAATTGTTAGTTTTTAAATACCCGTAAACAATTTATGTTTACACATTGGTACCTAATGCTATAATAAAAAAAATGTTGAACTAAACCAAAACCGGGTTTCTAAATACAGAGTTTCTACATATCGATAATTTGATTACAACACGCGGACCCAGAACCAAGTGTAATACGACACTAGTGCAAGCAATTCATTGAGCGTCATTCGAATTGTTCTTCTGACGGCGGCGATGGCTAGCAACCAATGTATATTGTTATTATCGAGTTGCTAGAAAATAGTTTTGTTTCGAAATTATAATATTGTATTGTTCAAAATATTAGAAAATGCAGGGTTTTAAAACTTATTGATGAAATAAAATCACTCCCGGAGTGTTTTTTAAACTTTAGCTTCTTACGCGACATGATATAATGGCACAATTCGGCGGCATATTTGTATTTTTTTTCACAAAATAATCAAGTATCACATTTGAACGACGACTGACGCGCTGTTGACACTCATATGCACGTCTGGTGATAAGCTAGGTAACGCGGACCCCGTCCACTAACCAGTCTATTACTAGTATTTATGTGGTCTGTGGTCAATGTTTACATCATTGTTCACATTGATGAATTCGTTTTGTTTAGAAAACACAGATGGCGGTACTTATAAAAATTTATGAATACAAACATGACACAGCTAGGCGGGAAATGTCCTAAACGTCACTTTGACTCATCACGTGTCTGGCGATGATATTTATAAAGTTTTAACGGCTTTGGTATGAAGCCATTCAGCCGCGTATTTGTCTTATTGTTTTTATTCTTAGTTCTTATTTTTTTATGAAGTTAGCTAACTCAACTTAGCTCACGTAGTTGCATGCAATGCCGAGCTAAGAAAATACGTAGTAAGTAGGTCAGGGTGCTGGTGAAATTACAGGCACATGGGACTTGTCAACTTACGTATCAGGGTGACGGGCGCAGTGGCAATGCCCCTCAGAACTTTGCAATTTAAAGCTCTGAGTGGCACTGTTATTGTCATGGATAGGCTACACGCTTACCATCCGGCGCACGACTTGTTATGTTATAAAAAAAAAATGGTAGTGAATATGGATACGTGCAGGAGTGAAGGACAGCAGAAAGGCGACACATTTTACATAGCCAGCGGGATCGTTGAGTTAGTTTAGTTAGCAAGGTTAGCTTCGTTCGCGGTGTGAACTGAGGTATGAAAAAATGCCCCGGCTATGTGAGCTAACCTAAGTTAGATTAGCTTCGAGCGCGGTGTGTGTTGCGCATATTATTTTTTTTATTAAAAATCTATTTTTATCCTATTAAGCACTTTATGTTATTTTATAAATGTAGAAACTCGTTAATAGCATACGAATATTCATCTTTAAGTATAACTATAATTTATCTGTAATTTTTTCCATGCCAACAGCGTACAAAGTGGGAGATCTATAGTCTTTGCTTACCTCAATAGAAGTCCAAAGGCGTGAGATATGTTTTGTTAATAATAAATGTTTATTTGAATTATTTAATTCTGATGCTTCAGGTGGTAGCAGAAATGGACACATCTTTCCGAGGCATGGAGTCAGTGGGCACCATCGGGTACCAGGTCACCATACCAAAGGCAGAGCTCGTCTTCAGAGGTTTGTTTGTTTTATTGACTTTAAATTGTTCCTTCTATTGTTTAACACTTTCTGTGCTAATCTAATAAGTAGCCATTTGTTGTAGCGTAGTGATATAACTTTGTTGTGACCCCATATAAAATAATAATATATTTATAAATCATTCTGCAGTGTATACCTAATTGAAGTCATGAGTGCGTCAAACGCGCTTTGAAATTTAGTGTCATTTTAAATAATGATGAACGATAATTACGGATTACTACAGCTATTATCCAGGAAAACGAAGTATCGGTAGAAGGCGGTACTTCTGGTTGAATGTTTCGGCCGTTTATTGGTGGTCATACATACTAACATGTCATATTGATCTGACCACTAAGAATTGTTTGTTTTGGTGGTCATATTTAGTCAGCATTAACGCTGTAAATTGTCCATTTATCTTAGTATATACCACTAATGGAACAACTCTTTTGCCTACAGGGTGTTAATGCTGACTAAATATGACCAACTAATACAAACAATTCTTATTAATCATATCAATATGACACGCTAGTATTACCACCAAAAACAGCCAATGGTTCGGCAGTAGTACCACCTCTGGCTCTTGGCTGTGACGTTAATATAAGAATGCAATTTCTGGGGCCCAGATTGTAAATTGCCTGCCCTAACCACACGTTTCTGCATCGGCGGCATTACCCCAAAGCAAAATGCCGTATGTAATTAAACAGTCAGTGCGATGCTGTCCTCCTACACATTGTCTCATTCATAGTACTGGTGCAATATCCTGGTGATTCATATCCAGCTTTTTACCTGGCTTGGACTTCCATTATAGCATTGTTTGGTTTTTATAGCTATATTTGTTCAAATCAAATCAAAACATCTTGTTCCTGGCATTTATAAATATAATTTTAATACTAGATATAAATGGAAACTCGTGTTACCGAAGTTAAGACTTCAGAGGGTTCTCGGTTCTTTTGTGGGGCAAGGTATTCCAAAAGCTGTTTTGGACTTATCCTTTGATAAGTTAAAAAATAATGTAAAGGAAACTCTGCTAAAGGATATTTATTACTCTGTTAAGGACTACATGAACGAAAAGACAGTGTGGTGTAAATGTGACATTTTCAAATGCAATGTGCTCACTTATGAATTAAAGATAATTTTGATTTTCTATAATATCTGCCACTATTTTTTTATGAAAAATTCTTCTTACCATAATTTTTTTTTATTTATTTATTTATTATACTTACTTTTAATCCAGTGAAAGTAAACAGAAATTGAAATAAAAATCTTCTTGTTCTCGTCTTTCCAGGCATGGTAGACTCAAATTGGAACATCGGAGCAGTATTGGAGAAGAAACTGCAGCCACTGCCATTCACGTTTGCCCTCTCTGGAATGGCCAACCAAGCCAAACAGCAGTTCAAGTTCGGCTGTGGCCTCATCATAGGCTAGTGATTTAGTGATAGTGATATTTACTGCAACATACTTACAACTTTACTTACATCACTAAGTAATTAAGTAAGTGTCTAGTGTGTCTGTGTTTTGGACTGTTCACCGTAACACTCCGGATATCATAATGGTGTAAGTGTTTATATAAATATTTTTATGCCACTTCCCAGTAGAACCGCTTTCTGGTGTAGTTTCAATTTTATTAATGCTTTTTGCTCAAGACTTGACTCTTTATGGGCTAGACAAAATCAAATTAATTTAGTACTAGTTTTCAAAGCTTTAATGCAAAACTACAGAAATTATGTAGTGCCCACAAAGGGACTGTCGAGAGAACTAAAGGGAACAATTCAATTCATAAATCTGTATACTCTGGTTGTACATGTGTGTATACTATGATTATACATTTGTATACTTGGTTTATTCTTGTGTTACTCAGTTCTAATGTAATACCCACCAGGGACTGAAAGTATAACCGTTACAGATATTTTAGCTTGTGCAAAATTAAACATAAAATGCACGGGGGTATGGTAAGACTTAATGTATATATTGAATAATTTGAAAACACTATAAAGTCATTGTCAAAATCTGTAGCCTAAACTGTAGACTCAGAATATGCTCATCTGCGAACTGCATTCGATTCGTATTCGTTCCTAGTCCGAGACTATACAAATCTAGAAAACTTGGACCCACTTCAGGGGGTCTACTCTCGATCTTCGTCCGAAATCCCTCCGAAACAATTACTGCCAAATAAGCAATACTTGACCAAATGAAAAGACGCGTGATGCCAATGAAGCGTCATACTGGTTTATTGTTTTTTAGTTTTGTCGAATATTACTTATTTGACTGTAATTGTTTCGGACGGATGTCGGACGGACATCGAGAGTAGCCCCCCCTGATGTCGCTTGGAATATCGCTTGAACACTTAGAGATAAAATGATCGCTGTGACATTTCGGACCGTCATTTCTCGTATTAGGAACCGTACGTTAATACGAATCGGACATAGTGCGCAAGCGCTCTTTATGCTTTGCAATCATGTGACACCTATTTGACATTTAACAGGTGTCAAGTAGTTTTATAGGAGTCCAAAATACAGATTTCTTATAAATAATAGACAATTCCTAATTCTGTCGCCAGACTTATTATATTGTAGCTTACGATATACTGTGTATACATGTATTGATTATTCATTTTATACCAAGCGTTTTTAGTATTTGTTAATCGCTATGCACCAGTGAGCATTTATTATGTGACTACGTCGCTCTAGGTCCGATTAGGTTAGATCTCGAATGACATTCAAAATAAAGGCCAACAAGGATCTTTTTGAATTTGTTAAATGACGCTGCTACATTAGGATCCAATAAAATAATCATTGGTAAACTGTCAATTTTCATTGGTTTTTGCTCTATCAAATACCCTCATAAAGAACTCCCTTTAGTTAGTGCACAGGTTTCTGATTTCAAACAATTCAATGAAAATTTTATTTTGGAGAAATTTTAGGTACCATACCTCCAAAAAGAGCTCTCATTGGATAATTATTTGTTCCATACGTCCACAGAGGGTTTTCATTGGTTGTTTTAAATCCATGCTCCTATAAAGAACTAAACCTTTAATACCGTGCCTTCAAATAGAGCTCCAATTGGTTGGTGCACAGTTGATTCTTTTTTGTAACAAATTAAAAGATCCTTGTCCTACTTTTAAGATTTTACTTAAATTTTACTTTAGTACATTTTTGTTTTAAAATAATTTTGCAATTAGGACTGCATAATTGATTAGATATTTCTATTATATAATTTGAAATGTTTATTAGTAATATGTTATTTAGTTACACTATGAATAAGAGTGCGTTCATATTTCATCGTTGATCATCTTCAATCAAGTTTCAGCGACTGTAAACGATGTCAATGTAAATGCAGCTCAATATGTAATATATATATAGCTGCGTATATATATGTGTAATGTTATATGTTCAATGCAATAGGAGTAAATGTTGACTAATAAATTTATCATGAACTTGAATCATTTAGAAAAAGTTTTTGCTCAATTGGCCTAGAGTGGCGGACAACAGAATACAATGTTGGTTTCCACCGCTATTGTTATATTTGCTGTGTACGACTTTGAACGAACTTATCTTGTTTATTGTATTGTTTTGTACACTATTCACAATCTAAACTTGACCACATTACTATGAACAGATACATCACTCTCATACAAAATCGAAAATACCTACGCTATAATAGCCTACCAAATCTGACTAATGACACCAGGCGCTCATTACGAGGAAAAAGAAACCTAAGCACGCGCACAGAGAGGTGAAAACAACGTTGCAGTCGTGCGGAGCCGAATACTCATAAATGAAAGATTTGCACGAGTACACTTGCGCCGACGTCGGCGCACTCAGCGGTAGGCACTTGTCGCATAACTTGAAGCGAGTGACGGAGCCCAATTCTATTAAATTTTGTTGTTTTCTAATGTTTTCGCTCTTGGTCTGGAATTTTCTCAATTAAAATGAACGCCGATAATAGGACAATCCGCGCAATGTGAAGCACTGAGAAATGCTAAAGGTTAAACCCCATTATTACAGAGCACGCATTAGATCAGCGTTCATACTATATCGCACGTCAAAACCAAATACTGTCGTAACTGAAACGTAGTGGAATTGAGAGAAAACAAACAAAGCGACATCTCTAGTCTTCTGCTGGTAGCTGGAAAGATACCTGGCTGAGTGAAGTAATAGATTTCTCACAGATGGTGCTACAACAGCGTCGTTAAAAACAAAAAAAATCTGCGACAAGCACATAAAAGTCTTAACGTCTCTTGACTCGCGTAGCTAAGTTGATAGTGTAATCTAACACGGGTTGCTGGAAGGCGCTGGTTCGAATCTAGCCGGATCGAAAGAGTTTTTCTTATTTATATAAATAATTAAAACAATTTCAAAATTAAAAAAAACCTAAATGGATCTTATTGCGAATAATGTGATTATTTTTATTTATACATAATACTTAATTATCCATTTATGATCGTGAGTATATAAAATGGTTTCATTCAGTATTTTTTATTTTTCAAATCGTGTTTTTTCAATTTCACAATTTTGAGTTAAGACAGTATTTTTTATTTTTTACCCTGAAACAGGCAATAATAAAAACATTTCTTTAAAAAAACGTTCGGGGCACCATTTGTTTATATGTCATTTACCTGGTATTAAATGCAACTAAATTCTGTTTGATATGGTAAAAAATATATTGAAGCATTTGAAGCAAATTCCAATGTGTGAAATCTCCAAGTACAACTCATTATGGTGTACTTTTCGTGCACTTTTCAATACTATAAGTGTTTGTTACTATAGTCTGTCTTCAAAAAAGGAGAATGAGTAAAATGACATTTTTTTAGGTAGCCAGTTTTTATAACATTTTAAATAGCCATGTTGTTATTCTCGCAGTTTATCGATAGATTGCGAAAGAAGGTAACATTGGCAAAAATATCTGTTAAAACGTTCTCTTTCGTTCGATTACTAATTGCCTTCTTTATTCTTATTTTGACAGTAGGCCTACTAGTATCAAAATCAATTTTTTACACAATATAGCCCCGCACTAGGGATACCCTGTGTCGCGGGTGCCATGGACACACACATAGACAACCATAAATTATACCAAAAATCACGAGAGTAATAAATGTAGACCATAAAAATATTTCTCCCGGCCCGGGAATCGAACCTGGGACCTCTGTGTGGCAGTTCGACATAGTAACCGTTCGACCACGGACGCAGTTAGTCATTGTAACGAAATTGGAATCGGTAGTGTCAAAACATTTATTGTAGATATTAGGTCCACCGAATCACCCATATAAATTAATATCACTGCTATTTATAATAGAACTTAACAAAATAATTAAATCTAATAAATTAAATATAATAAAATAGAGCTATTGCACCTTCTGATAATTATTTACATGATAAAGAGCTAATTTATTATTATGTAAATAGAAATGAAACACGGTTTAGCCAAAGTCGTACACAGCTACGAAAGTGTAGATAGATTATGGCGTCCTGTACATAAGAGCCTGTTGTTAAAATGTTTATTTTTAATAGAGTTATGTTAATAAATCATTTACGTGTTTTATTTACCTTGTGCACAAGTATGTGCAGAATTGTTTGCATCACGAAGCAAAAAACTAATGGACGTGTCTTCAGCCTCGATTATAGTCGCCAAAACACACATTCTCAATTTGAAACACTACAGAATCTTGATATTGATTGGTCGTAGTTTCAAATTTATAAAGAAATAAAATGTTAGGTTTTGATTTTATATTAAAATTTCAATCAATGTGCTGTCATCAAGCGGTTAGTTTCTGAACGACCACGAATTAGAGTTATTAATTTAGTTCTCCAAAAAAGAAGCGACCATATTGCAGAGATTTACTTTAAAAATGACGAGCTCAAATAGGTCTTTCGAGGTCTATAATAGGCACCAACTCCAACCTCTTCTACTGTATTAATTGTTCTGTGGTTTAAATCCTCCCGTACCCATACGATTTTATCCAAGCACCCTGTATATATCGCTGTTAATGAAATAACTAGGAAAGAAATAATGGCGATCTGGGAAGAATGTGGAAATAGATCCATTTCATTATGTGGATGATTTTTCTACATAACTGTATTTGTCAATGAAATTATTTAAATCATCGATATCTCTTGAACAAAGGAACGATTAAGATCGGCTTTTGAGGCGTTCACTAACGGGACGGCTCATGGGCTTGACAGATTTATTATTTTATTATTTATTTAACACACATCAATGACATTACTAAAGCATACAGTATTGTAAAAACCATAGCTGGTTTGACTCAATACTGGTGAGCTCATATTCTATTCTTACGCTTAATATTTATTTCACACACTTAATTCTAGCATATACCTAATTAGAACATATTGACCTTAATATTGACATATAATACAACATGTGGGTATTTCATGAAAAAATTAAACTATTTGGTACATCCGAACCTTCCGAACGCAATAAAAATTCGTACAGTCATTAAGCATCGAGCCGTGCATTCCACACTCGCGAAACCGGCCGGTCACCATATACTTTACACGGGCCATTCCCATTTCGCCTTTACAAATTACGAGAACTAATTAATTACATTATAATTTTTCTAGTATATATTTTTTAAGTACATATTTAATGCTTTTTTCGGTTATGTTATTTGGATGGTTTTTAGGATTGTTTTGAAATTCAATTATAATGCCTGAGGCTCAGTTTATATAGCGGCGGAACAGAATGGAAGCGAATTTTTGTAACGATATCGTTCCGCCGCAATATAAATTGAGCCTTAGATTTCTCACAAATGGCGGTACGCTACCGTTTTAAAGAGCGGCACCAGTTTTCAATCACTGAACCACGGCTCCTAGCTTTTATCTGAATGGCACTCAATTCCAAGGGATCTTCCGGCATCCCTACGTGCAAGCGCACACTGACTGCAATTATGCCGCGACATCCTTAAGCATGTCGAAGCATCCTTAGGCATGCCGAAGTATTCCGTCACGACATCGTGCTCGCGTCTGGCCTCTCTTCAGATCAGTCCTACCGTGCGTACCACCCCTCGCCCCTCACTGTCGCTCTCGGCCTCCCGAAGCCTGCCAAAGCTTCCCCAAGGCTGCCGAGGCATTCTGGAGGCGGCCCGGCTCGGTGAACCTACGCATTTACGTGGTTTAAAACTATAGTGAAACAAAAACTTTAGCGTACTTGG